CCGCCCGGAGAACACGGTGGAGCATACCGTGGCGGTGTACCTTGCATGGGCTGAGCACCGCCGTGTTCTCAGGGATGTAGGAAACGGTGACCTCTCGCGTTCGGCTCTGGTTCAGGCCATGGAGCGAGGGGGATTGGGATGCAGTCGCATCCTTCTGCGAAGCAGTTATGCTTGCCAAGGAGAAAGCGGAGCGTGTGAGGGAATGAACTTCCTCACGCCCCAGCCGTCGCGGGAGACACTCTGGGCGTCGGAGATCGGCCGGCCACCGGCCGGCCACCGGCCACCGTAAGTGCGGGTCTGTAGACGAAGAGCAAGGGTAGCTCGCCACCCGACCAGAACCAGTCCCGTGCATACGGCGCGCGCCTTACAGAGCCATGACACCATCATAGATGGAGCCCAGTAGGGCTGATGCTCGATACGGTGCCGCGGGAGGCCTAACGAGTTGACGGGGCTCCGGCTCGACGAGCAGGAGTAGGAACGGAGTGGATTTTAGTCAGTAAGAATCTGTCACTCCCTCTCACCTAACCCAAGGCGGGAGAAGTGATTGGATGATTTTCCGACCTCAAAAAAAATCTCCTTTAGGTAATGACAACCCGATGTGTGAAAAACTACCAAAAAAACTCCTTATATTATTGGTATTGATTACGCTGTGGAAATTATGGACAATAGAGCCAAGGGATGTATTAAGTCTTATAGAGGACATTAATATCAACATTAAAGTACATGTATCATATGTAACTAACCTAATATCAGAATACCTATTTTTTCATTTAAATGTTTGCGATAGTAACGCACGTCGCACCGGTACATATCAGGTCACATTATAGGAGAGAGGAAATCCCAAAATGACGGAAACTATGCGCTAAAAAACCAGGACCAAGGACGTTGAAATAAAGAGGGGCTCTTACCTTTTAAACCATTGAACCTATTTGGTGAAATTCGGTGCAGCGATAGTTTGAGACCCGGGAAAGGACATCTAAAAGTTTTTAACCCGAAAAACCCACGAAACCGGGAACTGTGCTGTTAAAATCACTATATCTATTTGATTGAAATGCGATACAACATTGATTTGCAAACATAGAATAGTGAAACCTCACGAGACGGGCACTGTACGGGTAAAACCTCTATGGGATTGTTTATTTTAGAAACCACGAAAATAAATTCATTTCTCAATAAATATAACCTAGGTACTGAATCGATTGTGTTGATATTTGTTCCAGTTGTACAGCCATAGAATATATCTTGACAAAGACTAATTTAAAAAACCCAATTTATACAGAAGTCGTTATTTTACGCGGACGAAGTCGCGGGTAACAGCTAGTAATAAATAAAACAAATAATTATAAGGTGCTTTAAAAACACATAATTTTACACGTAATACTACAATATTGTGTGTGCATCACAAAAGAAGTTTCGTGCGGGTATCAAACCCGCAACATGTGGCGCATACGCGAGACGTATGACAAAGGAGGCGGGTGATTCAAAAGATCTAAATATAGGAATACATAATATTATTATAATCAAACCCTATCTAACCAACTTGATCGACGGTGAAACTTCCGATCACTCACTCTCATTTTCACGAAAGCAACAATCGGTGCTACGCCGTAGCAGAGCGTTACGCCATAGTATAAAGAACAAAGTAGGTTATCTTCATACAAATGCTCCGCGCGCGGCTTATATGTGTGCGCCATAGTATCTATGCGTCGACGCACGCACACTAACAAAATCTCGACCCGTTTCTCAGTGCGCCAGGCAGGGCTAACACTGCACGAGGTTCGCGCGCGCATCACTTTTCGGCACTGTTAAATGAAATAAAAAATGTCTGATAACCGTAGAAGAACGTATTGCTGTGTGTTTGGGTGTCTTAATAATTAATCGATTCCAGAACTGTCTCTGTTCAGATTACCTATTGAACAGGAAAGGTAAGCTAGTCACTTTTTCTAGCATAATATAATTTGTAGGTACTTGATGATGAGATACCTACTTACTTATTCTTACTCTTATCATTCTTCATAGTTCCTACTCAACCAGAAATTTAATTACCTACTATACTTAAATATTATAAGAAAATGTGGTATTGTATTGTTTATTTCACAGTTTATTTGATTTGTTAAGAGCGTGGCCGTGTCGCATTTTTCCATATAAATGTATTCCGAAATTTACTTTCTGAATACTATGTATAGAGCTAAAGTTTATTTTAAGAAGTTAATAATCTTTTTATTTTTACTAAATTTATAAATTGATAAAATATTCAATCATAATATGCTTTTCATTTCATAAATTTAGATCAAGTGCTGCTTGTTCGAAAATATTAACTAAAAGTAAAAGTGACAACCCTGGGGATCAACGCAAGAGTAGGCTAATAACTCGGCGGGCGGCCTTAGATAACCTACTGTGTTCTTTATACTATGGTTACGCTACTTATTGTATATAGTACCTACTCTTAACATTGTGCAAATTATTTAAAAGCAACAAGAACAACAACAACAGATAATTATGTATGTGGTCATCATGCTTGTATCTAGATAAATTAGAAAACAAGATATTTAACTATAGTCGTGTCCTATGTCGGAATACTCAAACGCTACTCAATTTTAAGTCGTGCTTAAAATGTCAATAGATACCGTTCACAGATGCCGCCTTTGTTTATTTTACTTCCATCATTCCAAATTTTTATTTACCCGGTGTAAGTTTAATATATACATACATCGGCTCATCTCTAATTATATAGTAGTTACCATGGCAAAATACAACACAGCGGTACCGTAGGCCGGGCCCAGGGCCTTATACCAATACCACTAGTGTGTCAATAAGTGGGTGCGAAAACACATTCAGTCACCATGACAACGACAGCTGAGGCGTCGATACGGACGCCTTCTCACACACCTGCGTTACATAACCACCAAAGGACATAGGATAATTTCTTCATGGATTTTGACAACGCTAAAGCACAAGCCAGGTCCATCCTCGGACCTACGAAGGATGCCGAGTTCCTTCAGAGCTTCGTCCGAGTCGGTATAGGCGATGAGGAAGAAGAAACACCCGTGCAAAAAGCCTCGATCAGCAAGAGAGCACCACATTCTGCTGAACCAGAGGTCGAGGATGAGAAACAGGCTATCAAGGAGAGAAAGGAGTCAGTTAAGCCGAAGAAGAAATGGAAGAGGAAACCAAAACGCGAAAGGAGACGACGCGAAGAGGAATTGTATACGGACAAGGATCGAGCTGCTGCAGTAGTGATGGGCTCAAAGGACATCAAGCAGTCTTTGAACTTGAAGGATAAAGCAGAACGTAGTAGCGCTCTGCAGCTACCTGTTGAAGCCGACGCCGGCACGCTGTTGGCACTCGCTAGGGCTGAAATGATGAGGGAGCGTTACCGTACCGCTGTGTTGTTCGTCAATAAGGTAGAATTTAGGGTGATAATATTCGTGCAAGATGATTAAAGTAACCGTCGGAATCTGGTATGCATGTATATCTAAGATAATTGTTAAGGGCGAGGATCAATTCCACGACATGTAGCACCAATTGAATCATTCGTGTTTAGTAATTTGTAGACCACTAAAGTAGTATTTGTAGCCAACATCACCATCAACAGTCCATTTCTGTGTAGTTGACATAGGCGTCTCTGATAACACTAACATGCTATTTTTATAATTCCAGGCAATTGAACTAGCTCCAGACGAGAAAGCAGCCTATGTTGCTCGCAGTAAATGCTACCTCCTCCTTGGTGAACCTCGCTCAGCACTGTTAGATGCTGAAGCAGCTCTTAAACTAGACCCTAAGGACGCTAAAGCCCTACTTCGGAAAGCAGAGGCTCTTTATTACTGTGGAGAGTTCGAAATGAGTCTCGTGCACTACCACCGAGGTTTGAGAGCCAGGCCTGACTTGAATGACTTCAGACTTGGAGTGCAGAAAGCACAGGTAGCTATAAAATATTTTTACTAGACCGGTATTTTAACAAGTATGATTTTTTTCAGTAACTTTATTGAAGTAATGAAAAAAATATATGTAGGTACTTAACTACATGGCCTTGAAGTAGATTCTCGATCGAAAAAGTCTACCTCTCTTCATATGATTTTCTTGAGTCTATCCATATGATGATGACGACTAAAGAAAAATGGGTACATTATAATTACCCATTTCATATATTCTACGACTACTTAGGATACAACTTGGATATATCAACGTACAAATTAAAAACTTTTCCATCTTTTAATTCCAGGAAGCCATTGAAAACACGATTGGAGCGGTGAAAGTGGTGAAGAAAGCTCCGAAGAAAAGATCAAAATCTGCGAGGCCAGTGCTGGGACAGCTGAACTCCGACAAGATCTATTTAGAGAACTTGTTGAAGAACCCTGACTTGGCCATAGCAGACAAAAAGAACGACGTAGTGATGAGGCAGGCTGAGGAAGCCATCAGGTTTTTAGAGAACCGCGAGGAGTTTTGGAGACAGCAACAAACCACTACGTAATAACTTTAATTAAGCAATAAGTCTTTTTGTCAACGAAAAAGTAAGTATGTGCGTGTGATCAATTGTAAAGTTTCATTTTATCTTTTTTCAGTATCAGTATTGAGTAATACAACGGTGGATTAATGCATGACCAGATTATCTATTCATTTGCTAATAGAAAAATAAATAGGTGTCACAAAAACTATTTTTACTTTTCAGAGTTAGTTCTTAGATAAATTTGAAGTCAAATAAATTAATAAATAAAATTAACACAACCGTTGTTTGACTTGACTTTGGAATAATGGTAACTGACTTTTCTCCAAGATTTTAATTTAAAATTTAGGTACCTACCTATAACGTGGCAACTTTGTGTAGATTTTAAAAATAAAATGTTAACTAGTCCAATTTTACTAGAACTGCTATAGATTTATATCAATGTCTATTAAAATTAGGATGAGTTAAATAATGAACAATGATGGCACTGCAAAACAGATATATTTACAGATATATTCACTTTAAATAGAAAAGTTTAGGATTCCTTTACTTGGCATCAGCAAGAGCTACTTCCATTGATGTAGTCCAAGTAGTCTTGAAGGACCGGCTTGCAAATAGCCACATTTATTGCCAGCCTCCTACATCTGTGCGGGTGAGTGTAGAACTTCTGGCAACCCTGTGGGAAAAACAAGTTAATTAACCCAAACAAAAGGTTCATTTTCAAAATAACTTAATCTATTTTCTGGTAATAACCACATAAAGTTTTAAGATAGTCACGAAAAAATAGATATGTATGTTGGTAAGTATATCTGTTCACTCTGTGGGTGGACGGACGACATAATGAAGATTGCAAGGGGAAAGGATGTCGCTTATAACCTACCGATTTGGGTGCTTAGGTACTCTTAAAACCAGTCATAATGTCAATGCAATTTCAATCCAATAAAATCTCAATAATTATTCAATGTCAAAATCGCCAACCCCAATCGTAGCTGCTAAAATAGTATTTAGAGCACGGAATATAAAGCCAAACTCAATATCATTTAGTTCATTCAATATCCACGCAATACAAATGTAATAAGCGCTAGTGTTGTAACATAAGAGTACGAAATTTCACAATACCAATGTTGATCGATCGGAATTGGATTCAAGAGTAAGCCCCCTTGAAGCTTTTAAGGGGAAGCTTATGTTCAGTGGTCCACTACTGAACTTCCTCTTAAAGGACATTTTGATGTGGCTGATATGATTACTTATTATTATTACATAATCATTCTTTACATACATACCTACATATTACATACGTACACAATGTTTATAGTTCAGTTATGCATCATCATACTCTTAATAAATTAACCAGAAAATGTGAGGTGATGATAGTAAAGGATAATCAGTATGGAACACGCACTCACCATCAGAGCGCTAACGTAGGCACAGACTTGAAACTTCATAGTATCACAGCAGGAGTCCGTAGTAACAAAACGAAGGTAGCGATCGTCCAAACAGTTTTTCTTTATTTCTTCAATCGGTGGTAAGGTCTCGGGATCGTTGTCGCCAATTCTCTGACTCACCGATTTTACTTTTTCTAGATCTATGTGGTCTCCTGATCTTATTTTAAACTTCTCTGTTGCACATTTTGATACCGCACACTTGGATAAAATTATTATTATTTTAGTAAAGATAGAAGGACAACCCCCGTTCTCATCCGGTTGATTGTAGACCAAGAGAAACAGTTTATATATTCGACTCCCAAAGTATTACTGGGTTTTTAAAAAATCTCAGTAGTAGCACGGAGTCTGGAATTGTGCCCGGTATATGGCAATAGGCTCACCCTCTATTACATGGGACTCATAACATAAATAGTAAAAAAGTGGGTGTTACATTGCACAGTGGCATAATGTGCACTTCTGCCTACCCCTTCGAGGATAAAAGGCGTGATGTTATGTGTTATGTAGCTAGGCTACACTGTCCCTAACAAGTTGGAAATGGACAAATGAATAAAATATTTGATAAGGACCTGATTACTAAGTTTTTATTAGTCGAACTGACGGATCATAATTTAGTGTATTTTATACTAAATCTGTCAGACACTGTGATAGGGACTTCAAGTAGTAAATTATATGGTGGTATCGACTTACGGTAAATTTGTCAGTATCTAGTTCGCCCAGGCACTGATTATTCGCGTCCACTAAAATTTTCATTGGGTGACAGCAATTCACTTCCATTGCCTGAAAAAAAAATGTTTTTGGTTATTATTATAGGCCCTGTTTCATAATGGCAAGTATGGGAGAGCCTTGCTTCGGCACGAATGGGCTGACTTGACCGGAGTGATACCACGACCTCACAGAAAACCGACGTGAAGCAACGCTTGCGTTGGGTTTCGTCGTGTGAGTGAGGCCCAATTACCCTCCCCTTCCCCAAAAGGCCGGTAACGCACTTGTAACGCCTCTGGTGTCCCAGATGTCCATGGGTGACGCCGATTGCTTACCATCAGGTGATCCGTCTGGACGTTTACCGGCTTATGTCATAAAAAAAACATATTTACGAATAGAACCTACCTACCTTGGTTCATTTCTATAAGACCAAACTCTTTAGTTAAGTAGATACCAAAGCAATAATTATATACAATTATTTATATTTTTATATGTTATGAGACATACTCGCATAAAAGGCTCTACTAGTTTTATAGTAACCTATTAGGTAGTAGGCTAGGCGCTACATTGCCGCTCACGCAACTTATGAGGAAGAGCCCCTCTGTAGCTCGAAACTAGTAGAGCTTTTCTCAGTATATTCACATACTAACTAGTAACTCGCGATTTTTAATTGATACTTATGTATTATGTAGTTATTTAGTACTTATGTAGGTAAGAAATAAAATATTGATTCAGTATAGAAACAGTAACCCTCCTACCACAGATGGGGCCCAATAGGGCCGATGCCGATTCGGAGTCGCGGAGAAACTAACGGGTAATCGGAGCTCCGGCTCGACGTGCAGGAGAAGGAACGGGGTGGTTTTTAGTCAGTAAGAGTCTGATACTCCCTTCCGCCTCACACAGGTGGGTCATTCGATGATTTTCCCCCCTTAAAAAAAACCCTTCGTTGGCTACTACAGTTACAAACAATGTGGCTTCGTTACAAAGCATACAATGGGGTAGACGACTAATTTTTATTTTAATGTCCGTCTGATAGATTATTTAAAAACATTAGACACGTATTTTTTATTTTCTCACAGAAACGAATAGTTTCGAAGATATATTGATTTGAAATGTCGCGTGACGTCACTTCTCAGTACATTTTATACTAAGGAATGACGTTTTAGCCCCCACTCCTAAACTTTGATTCGTTTTATCTAAGTATTGTTTTATTATACGACAAAATAAAAATTTACGTGTCTAATATTTTTTCATTACCTAACTTACGGACTAATTATATTTCTAATTTTCATACCCTGTCATCATCCCCATTAAGTATAACAATAGCTACAGTCTCTGTACTGCATCAATCTTAATCTTTATTTGCTTACTAAATGCCTAACTTAGCTGATTGTTCATAATACTTGACTTACCCTCGGGCTGAATACTGCATTACACGCTGCAATCTGATAAGCTTTCAAACATCCACATTTTCTATGATTTGCGACCTGTAATCAATTATGTAACTATGAATAGCAAAGGGGTATCGGGTTCGATTCCCGGGTCTAGCAAAGTATTAATGGGTTTTAAAAAAATCTCAATAGTATTACGGAGGCTGGAATTGTGTTGCAACAGGTTATAGGCTCATTCACTATTAGGTACATGGGACTTAAAACATAAATAGTGGAAAGTGGGTGTATATTGTATAGTGGCATGAAATGCCGTGATGAGCACCTCGTGCGCTTAACCTCGGCGTGATGATATATATGAAAATCAAATTGCTAAAATGAATGTTAAATAGTTACAACAAGTACTAAAATTTAGTTTCTTACCGTCGATGTTCCAAATAAAAATACCACTAAAACAAAAGTAATTATACGGTAACCCATAGTGGATAGTAATAATAGAAAGACAACTCATAACAATTTGTAATTGAATATATTACTTTCCTATTTATGTCTTAGCCACGAACGAATAGTAAACATAAATTTAAAACAAACGAAATGGTCATAAATCGGTACACAGCAATTCATATTCATGATGAGTAGTGTAGTAATCAATAGGTATCGTAATACTGATAACAACATGCTAAAATGTAAATTACATGTTATTTTAAAATAGGATTTTGAACCTTATTTATTAAGGATATCTAACTGTACGAGTGATATTTTGCACGAGGAACTAGGTACTAAATCCCGAGTTGATACAAAACATTATCAATAAAATTATCCTAAAAGTAAAATCTGGATAAAAGTGCATAAACACAAATAGTGTAGTTGCAAATATAGTAGGGTAGACAGTGTATGAAAATTTAAATTGTAATTAGTCTGTTTATGAAAAATAATTAAACACATATATTTTATTTTGTCGTATAAGAAAACAATACTTAGATAAAACGGAGTTAAGTTTAGGAGTGGGAGGTCGTTATGTCACGCTACCAAAAAGTAGTAAATCCTGACGTCACACGATATTTCAAATCAATATATCGACGAAAATATTAAATTTTGTAATAAAAGGAAAAAATACGGGTCTACTACCCTAATATAGACCGAAATATTGTATAAAGAAAAACGTCAGGACTGTCTGGTTACGTTAATTCTGTTTTTTTGATTAGCAAGAGTTACTTCCATTGAGGTAATCCAAGTAGTCTTGAAGGACTGGCTTGCAAATAGCGACATTTTCAGCCAGCATTTCACATTGGGGCGTGGCGTAGAACTTTTGGCAACCCTGTTGGGGAAGGCGTCATTATTAGTTGGAATATAAGGTTTACATACATAACCTTACGGCTGTCTCCCATGGGGTTAGGCAGTCTATGAAACGCCAATTGCTATGATTCTTACATACGTCTTTCGCCTCCTCAACAATCATCATTCGTTTCATGCATACTCGTTAGGTTTAATCCCACAATTTATACTTTTTTTATTCTTCGTTAGCCTATTCTTTTGAATTAAGTACAAAGCTTTATTAATAACTGTTACTACATACATGTATACTTTTACATTTTTTAGACTGCCTCATTGGCCGAGTGGTCGCAAGTGCGACTGCAGCGCAAATCTCAGTAGTAGCATGGATTCTGGAATTGTATAACTGGAAAAGCCTATTGCCATATACCGATATGGCAATAGGCTTACCCTCTATTCCATGAGACCCATAACGTAAATAGTGAAAAGTGGGTGTTACATTGTACAGTGCCGTAATGTGCACCTCTGCCTATCTCTTCAGGGATAAAAGGCGTGATGTTATATTATGTGTATGTTTTAGAAAAATACCATAATATCTTTTGAGTAATTTTGTAGCTTAATTTTTTAAACACTACTGTCATACTCACCATCAAAGCGTTAACGTTGGCACAGAGTTCAAACTTGTTATAGTCGCAGTATGTCTCACTAGTCTCGTATTTAAAGTATTGATCGTCCAAACAATTGTCTTCTATTTCATTAGTCAGTGGTTTGGTCTCCGGATCAATGAAGTTAAATTCCCGAAACCTCGACTTAACTAACTCTGGCTCTATTACGTTTCTCTTTCGAAAACCATACTTCGCTGTAACACATCTTGATACGTAGCACTGTTAATAAAGGGATTATTATTGTATTATTGTAGAAGCTAAAGCTAGAGCTTTTGTCAAGAAGCTGATTGAAGCGATTGATAAGTGATGACTGATGAATTGTTGAGACAGGTATAAATTACTAGCTACTTCCGCGCGGTTTCACTCGCTCTGCTCGGCGGCGGCTCGGCTTTATAGCCTAGACTTTCTCGATAAATGGTCTATCCAACACAGATTTTTTCAAACCGGACCAGTAGTTTCGGAGATTAGCGCGTTCAAACAATCAAACAAAAAAACAAACGTTTCATTATAATTTAATTAACTTTCGTGAAACATACCTGCTCAATTAATTATAATGTTTTACGACATACTCACGTAACTGTTGACGAGGAACTCGACTACTTTCAAGCCATACTAAAGGCTCATATTCATGAACAGCATTCCGTGACACACGGCGCGGCGACTGTCACGCCGAGTTCCTCGACAAACAGTTACGTGAGTAAGCCGTAAAACATAATTAAGCTGTATGAGATGCTGAATGAGTCTCACACAACTTGGAGTGTAGGTGGAAATAAGTAGATTGATAGTCCGGTGAGATGATTTTTATGATGACTAATGATTAATAAGTTCTGATATATTTGAGCGCTGAACGTGTACATACAAATTGATTGCAAAAACTGCTGACATGAATCGCGCGTGCGTGTGATGTACAGTCGCTGACTTGTACATAAGCCATGAATAAAGTTGTAGTATAAATATCACTACTTTTCCACACGGCTAGAGATAGGCAAATATTGTTTTGTTATGAAATAATAATTATAATAAAATGTCGATAAAAACAAGTTTGACCACAATATCTAATAATAAAGCTGTATTTATTCCATGCATGCATGCATACATAATAATCAATATTTGTGATAACAATTATTCGAGAACTTTATTAATTTTAATAAAAAAATGTAATTACAATTATAAATTTGATTTCCAATTATTATAAATTTGATTTCCAATTATTATAAATTTTTCTATTACATACTAAAAAAAAATAATTAAGAGATGCATGGAAATTTACTAGTAATAAGGCACTAAAACTTACAGTAAATTCATAAGTACCCAGGAGCTGCATGCACTCATTATGTACATTTGTATAGCTTTCCATTGGAGCACAGCAGGTCTCTTCCATATTCTAAAACAAAAAGTCTTCATTACCTTATAGGTACCTACCTAATTTATAGTCGGATATAAATTAATGATTGTACTGCACTTTTTATATTTTTTTTTAGTTGTTGATCCTTTCTAGTACTCATGTAGATATTTTCAACGTTATCAGATATTGCTCAACCTCTGCGCCAACACTGAATTCCGTAAGTACGAATATAACCCATACCTAGTGCTTTTTATTGACGAGCAAAGTATCACCTGGTGGTTGAATGGAGACAGCTGTACCTACTTGTTATACTCTTTGGAGGCCTAGGGGGCTGGGATTGAGCTTCCGCAATCCTCACTCTATAGAATCTACATGTTTAGCTTACCTCTGGATTAAAAACTTCATCACATGCTGCTATCTGATAATCTTTCAAACATTCACCATTTGCACGATCCTTTAATAAATTAACTATTTATATTAAATTGTTAAAGTAAAAAAATATTTCAAAATTGCTAAAATTTAAATATCTCACTGTCAGTGTTCCAAACCAGATAATCGGTAAAACAAAAGCAATAGTATAGAAACCCATTGGGACGATTATAGAAGATAATACGGTATTATAAAAGAAAGATATTTCAAAACAATTTACAATGAATAAAAATATTGAATTTATTTTTCTTATTCTTACTCATTAAAACATAATAAAATAAAATCCAAACAAACAAATTGGTAATAAATAAGTAGCTATTTTATTTTATACTTATGATGGCCATGGACTAATATTTATCTGGTCCATGGTGATGACTGGTTTCAATCTAAAAATGTAATAAAACTAGTTAGTTTGTTACAAATAAAACAAAGGCATATTAAAAGAAATAACATTTATTTTGTTCCGACGGCTTCGATCTGATCGCCAAACTCCAAAGTATGAAATCGTTCGTCACCACGAGAAGCGACAAGGCGCCCACACACTTCATCATAAAAATAAAATCGCTCACTCTATAATCCGAAACAGACAATAATTCTATGTCACTCATATTTACATCTATTTACACACAACATTATGAATCACATAAAGACTATCTCAAAACCAGAGATTTATACAGTTTAATGTAACATAATTTCATATCAACTTATCATTTAGTTTGACGACAAACTCATGTTTGGTTTTGTTCCGCAACCGAGGCTGCGTTCAATTATCGCTACGGACTGCTTACCCTAATAGTCAGTATTCTCGAAAACATATCTGCACTGCAAAAGCACATACAGTAAGCGAAAGCAAGATCTCTTACTACAATAAATTGTGAAAAAATCAATTGGTATTACATAGGAATCTCATTGTCTCCTTCTCAAGAATCAATGTATCGTGTCATTTAGATATTGGCTAATAAATCTTATTTAATCACCAATTTATATCATAATTAGGTAATAAAATATTATAATTATTTTGTGAGAAAGCTAGCTAATTTCTCAGACTGAAATCTAAAAGGGAGTAGCCCTTGAACACTTGAAGTAACTTACTCGATATTAAACAACTACTTAAAAAGATTTTATTGGTACATGAGAGGGTACCCTAATCAGCTACTTTGATAAATGAAGTACAGAAGGAAAAAGAAATTTGAAAAGAAGTTTTAAAATTTATTATGATTACTAGAATTCAGTCTACAAAATAAGCAAAGCTTACAAATTTCATGACAGTGAGGAGAACATCTCGACATTTGAAATCGAAAAATTGAACTAACTAGACATTAGTAAAGTGTGATCTCATCGAGCAAACACACCAGCAAACAACTGTTCATAATATTTAATAAAATCTATTTTATAATACTGTGTACTTAAACCGTTGCAGTTCATTATTCGAGTTGCGTTCGCGTATTGTCCAGCAAAACTCCAGAGATCATAGTATAAACATAAATACTTTCTCTTGCATTTGTCCCGTGAACATTTAATAAAAATCATGTCTAAGAACAGAATCACGTAATTTACAATACAGTATATGCTAAAGAGGTGTTTCTTAAAACAAAAATATAAACTATATGGACTTACACTATATTTACAGTATAGTTTAGTATTTATTTTCTATGCAGTACATGTTTCACATACTATCATTCTCGACTCGACATCTCGTAATTCCTTGTCCCACAAAATCATTTACTATCAGTGAGAGACCACCAATTATTACATGTAATTATCATTGTCATTATTTAAAAAATCAGTGTTAATAAATTAAATAGCGGTTATGTTCACTATTGCATATCAGTCCATGAGGTGAGAATCTATAATAACCACTTTTTTTGTTAGTGAGTTTCAAAAGCTGGTGTACATCAGTAAAAGGACTGATCAATGAACACTAGTTCAGTGTAACACTGTTGAAGTCACTTAAAACTAGCTAGCACTGTTTGTCTCTATCTGTTTAACTAGTCTGCGCATGTATAACGTTTCTATTGTGTATGTTCATGTTAGAGGCATCCCAAACGCTAGGTATTCGGCCGGGTCGCGGCCTTCCTGCGCTAATCGATCTCCTCCGGAGGGCGATTATAAACAGGTCCAAACTTGGCCATATACTTCCTCACGAACATCTTCGCTTTTGAGCGCACCGAGTCAGTCACTACTAGTTCGTCAACTGATCGACAATGCTTCAGCTCTTTAAGCATTACGAAGTGTGTGAGCTGTAAAGAAAACATATCGTTAAAGTTATAAAACTAGAGTCAACACCTTATTCATCAATCAATAAAAATCTTCACCATTTACTCTACTTTAACTGATTAATAGAAACGTTTTTAACAGTAACACTCACCTTTCTAGCTAAATGTTTGAAGTCGGCCGTGCACGTGATGCGCGCGGCCGGCGCGTCAGGATGTCTGTATGGGTTGAGGTGCTGCACCATAACCCGCGCCATGCTGCAGCGGAACTGCTCCTTAATCTTGCGAGCTGTCTCTTCAGTGCTCATGGTGGTCGTGCCTTCCGAGGCGGGCGGGGATTGTGGCGGCGCTACAACTGGAGACGGGGACGCCTCCAACATAACTGGTTTCTCCATTGGGGTTTCTTGTACTGGCGCTGGAGTCGATTCTTCGGTCGACGAGTCTTCAGAATCACTGTCGGAGTCCACTAATTCCACCATTTGCTGTTTGTACAAAATAAGTGTGTTAATATTATGTCATTAGGTTTTATTTTTTATAAAAATGGTATACTATAAAGCTTACATGTTATTAAGAACGTTATCAATATTTAATGCGTTTTGTTGAAGTATATTTCTAAACTATTGTAGGCATACAAAACAAAAATGATATCTGACTACAGCTGTAAAATGAGTGATAATAATTGTACACACATATTACGCTAACGAGTGAGACCAATTGAAATCAGCCTTTAGGTGAACTAAGGATGACGATCGACTACATGAGGTCAGTTAGGCAGTCGTATCGTATACTATTTGTATAATACATAATGATCTACAATGCTAAATTTAAGGGTCCCTTCGCATTTAGGTCATTAGACACAGATGCATTTGCGCATCACACCGCGTACGTAGGGACAAGCATAATGCGAGGACACTCTTATCGCCGACATCGACCGATACCTTTATTTCAGGCTCATGTTTCTTCACATGTTCTTTCTTCTCAATGTCTATGGTCTCAATCTCCATTTTCTTCGACATTTCTTTCTCAACCACTCTCTCTTTTTCACTCTCAAATTCTTTTTCCATATCTTTGTCCTTCTCTTTATCCTTTTTGGTTAGCATTAACAATAAAATGTGAAGGATGAATCAAGCAAGAGCATAAGTTTACATAATATGTAACAGATATTAGATTAACCCTAGTCTTAGCACATCTTTACTAATGGTGCAATACTATTCATCAACACAATCAGATATTGATAAGACTCAATTAAGTACAAACTATAACACAGATGGTTAGAAAAACGCACGTAAAACCTTCATGGAATATTCTAAACTTACCTTCAAGTCCATCACGCTGCCTTTGAATCTGCGTTGCGATTTGTTAGCGGCGAGCAATCGCACCTTCTGTAGTATTTTCTCCCGGCGCCTCCGTAGTTTCTTTTGTCTGCTTATACCGCTTCACTTCAAGCCTTCCTGCCAGTTTGTCTTCTTCTGTCCTCGGCTGCAGAATGACAGAGGAAATTAAAGAGAGGATATAACATAGGGATATGACTGGCCCAAAACTCCTTGATCAGCAGGCGAATATAATAAATTATAAAAACCGATTTTTACTTGATTATATAACGTCATTTTGACTTGTTTTTTTTTAAGGGGGAAAAATCATCGAATGACTGCTCCCGCCTAGGTGAGGCGGGACGGAGTGTCAGACTCTTACTGACTAAAAAACACCCCGTTCCAACTCCTGCACGTCGAGCCGGAGCCCCGGTAACCCGTTAGGTTCTCCGCGACATATTGACTTGTTTAGTGTTATAATCTTATGTACTTACACTGATAGGTCTTTCGGATACAAGTCCAGGTCTTCGTTTTCTTGGTTTGAGGCTGACTAGCGCGTGGTCAGGAATCAGGCCGTTGTGACTATCCTCTTTAATAACTGGAACCATACAGAGACACTAATTATAACAATTTGTTATTTAAAATGGAACTATTCTAATGTTATTCTAACATGAATAAATAATTAAAATGTATGGCAAGATGAATCTTGATAGAAGCAGAGCTGCAACTATTCTCTGAGATCTTCTTCAGGCATTTTAAAACAAGAACTGTGGACATTTAAGCACATAAATATCAATAAATACAATGAAATGATTGTGTGATGTGTCCGTCTGAGAATGAATATAAAATAAACTTATAAATACATACAGTCGGTCTCCCCACCTTCGTAAATGCCATTGACTCCTTCCACGACCTTCCCTTTGGTCTGTCGTCGAACGAGGGGACTGTCCAGGCCTGAAGACGGTAGCTCATCTTCCTCCTCTGACGAACTCTCTTCTGTAGAATTACATATTATATGTCATGAATTGAATGAAGATGGTTGACGGTTGGCGAACTCACAGTAGATAATGAAATAGAAATACATTGGTAACTAATATGTACAACAATAAATAATTATTTAACCACATTTAAAAAAAAGCAGGTACTTAGTTTGACCTGTATGTATTTATATTTGTGAGCGATTATCTTGCAATTGGCTGCGCTGATTTTGATGCAGTTTCCAGAGAAGTGTTTGTTACACTTAGGAGACGGTTTTAGTATATTAATTGTTTCAAAAAAGAGGGGGCTGAAGACGGCTTTTTTAAATGTTTTTTTTAATTATTACAATAAAATGTAGTACCATAACAAATGTAGTACACACGGCTACACATCGAACTTTACATATCCAGTATAAACTGAACGTTAAACACGCGGAAAGATGATGCGACGCGACACCAGGATAAACTGGTTTTGTATAGATTGATATGTGGCTGTACGAATGTAAGCTGGTAATGCTAATTGCGAAAATGTTGTTATAATCTTCTACATACCAGGTTCATTGGGCAGTGGCGGAGGTATCCACTGCGGCTGTCGCAGCTTGACGTGGTAGTAGTACGTGCGGCCGCGGGAGTCTGTGGCACTGCGCCATAGAGAAGGAAGTACTATGTCCTTGAGGTCTTCTGGTTGAGCTGAAGCTGCTACGGCCTAATATGGAAAAAGAAACATTGTCAACCGAACTAAGACGTTTTTTAATCTATATATATAAAAGAAAGTCGTGTTAGTAAGAATGGCTAAATCGATTTGGATGAAAATTGGTGGGGAGGTAGCTTAGAACCACTTTTTTTTACTTTTTACCGAAAATCAAGAACGGGAACAGGAAATATCGGGATAGTCGCGGATAGAAGCTAGTATGAACAATAAAAAGGTCAGTTACACTTTTATCTAATCAAAAAATGTAAGGCGGAGTGTACAAGTCAATTTTACTGAAACGATAATGCTAAGGGATTCGATTCTTATACTACAAACACACACAGAGAGCAAAAACACCGCCCCAATCCACAATGTTTATTTATTGCTTTGCGGTCAGAAAGACTGTTCATGCACTTCGCTCCTAAATAATTCAATGACTTTTTAAAAAGGTTTTATATTTTGGTAAATAGCATAAAGGTTAGTTGTTATACAATGTACTCACAGGTTGTTGTTGTGGTTGATCAGGTTGTGGTTGTACTTGAGGGAAGGGAGGTTGTCCGGCCGGGCCCACCTGTTGCCCAAACATAAACCCACCCATCGGGAACCCAGGCATGCCCATCATACTATGGAAAACATCAATTATTTTTACTTACAGTTTCATTGGTAATTTATAATACTAGTACTACTAAACATAATTATGTATTGTCAAATACATGCAGCATGGGTCTTGTGGTGACAATCAATCTATAGACATAATCATAGCAATCTGATATAATTATGTCTGCTTATTGTGTAATTGATATATTTATTACTTATATTAACAATGACATAATATTTCGTTTTTATATCATGACTTATAGAAAAAATAATTTATTTGAAGTTGAATACTCACTTGGCTTGTGGCATACAGAAAGGCGGGCAGAAGGGTGCAGGAGGGAATTCATGAGACATCCAGTCCGCGGGCATGTCGGGCACTAGGCCAGGCACTCCGCATACCATGCCACCCATGTTGCCCATGTTGTTCATGTTGTTCATGTTACTCATCATGTTGGGCCCACCGGGAACCATACCACCAGGGAACATTTGCTGTAAACAAGGTGTTCAAATTTTATGGAAAGTTCTCTTTAATTTTGAGTCCACAAATTACTTATGTGCTTACCTAATATATGGCGTAAAGTTAACACAGTTTTTTTTTAAGGGGGGAAAATCATCGAAAGACCTCACGCCTGCGGGAGGCGGGAGGGAGTGTCAGACTTACTGACTAAAACCCACCCCGTTCCTACTCCTGCCTTTCGAGGTTTTGGTTCTGGTCGGGCGGTGAGCCACCCATGCTCGCCATCCGCAGGCCCGCACTTACGGTAAAGTCAACACGCTACAAGTACAATTCAGTGCTTTAATATTTGAAAGTTACCTGTTGGAAAGCATCAGCCTGTGGCCAGTAAGCGGGCCATCCAGTATGTTGCATCCGTTCTCGTTGCCTCCTGGACTCGTCCGCGGCGGCGGCCGCCTCCGCGAAGGCACGACGTCGTTCCTCTTTCGTCATCGGTGGCACTGCGGCCAGTACACGGTCACTTAGCCTGGGGACACATATTTAGACCACGTCATGTAAAGTTCTATGTGCTGGGAGTGCTCATACGCTCAGTGTACGCTTCAAAATCATAAATTAATACTGGTTGCGCAGATTATAAATAAGCTATGAATTATAAGAAAATTAAAACCAAGTCTAACCTGATACTCCGTCTACCCTCCGGACTGCTCCTTCGTTTCCTCCTGTCTCTGTCATCTCTATCTCTATCTCTGTCCCGGTCTCTATCGCGATCTCTGTATCTATCACGGTCTCTTTCGCCCCGATCTCTCTCCCCACGTTCACGATCACTTCGTTCCCTGTCCCTGTCTCGTTCTCTATCTCTGTCTCTCTCTTTTTCCCTCTCCCGCTCCCTCTCCTCCCTGCGATCTCTGTCGCGGTCCTCCCTACGATCACGGTCTCTGTCGCGCGATCCGCTCGAATCAGCCGCTCGCCTCTCAACGTTGGCTTGTCTTTCGTGCTCTTTCATCTGTTGTATTCGTTCTTTTTTCGGAATTTTGAATACTTCCTACAAATAGAAAACATTTTCATCACACTGTGATACAAGTCTTTGACTATTAACAGACACTGGTCTGTTAACAGTCAAAGACTTGTATCACGTTGATGAAATATTTTAAACCTACCTTTAAACTAGACCATCTTTCCAACAGTTGACTTGACAGATCCTTAATCTTCTCCAGTATAGCTGCATTGTCTTTCGCCTTTTCTGGACTTGCGAGATTCTCTTGGCTATTTCTGTTTGGTAGTTCTACAGGTAAACCTATAAAGATAAAGAAATCATAATAAAACCTTGATTTAATACAGAATTTAATTTAGTTTTGTATAAAGAAGTTTCTTGCAAATTATCAACTTTCAGGCTGAAAGTATAATAACATGAGTAACAGTGTGAACATACCAGTAGCCTCATCAATGAACACATTGTCAGGCGGTGGCTGCGGCGCCTCGGCCGCACTCAGCCATCGCTCCACGATGGTGAAGAAACGACTCTCTTGAACCATCGTCTTGTTAGGGATTGGTAGTCGGTCCACTGTCTGCAGCATTTCCAGCCTAGAAAATAAAAATTACATTTAAAGTTTTAGTTTATATTAAAGTCTGCATTTGTGTCGCTATCTGTCGTTAACTGCTTCAGCTCAGTGTCTTTGAAATGCCCTATTAACTTTCACGGTCGGGTGCCCTCAAGTCGGCAGTATCGTATGTCGGCGTGGTGATACCCGTGGCGGTCAGTAGGTTAATACTTAGGAATGAGTGCTTCTCGTAACATATTACCATCTACTAGAATAAGACCTTGAAGCGGCTTTTATTTTACGGGTTGAAACTTTATTACTTACACTCATGATCCAGCATCGGAACCTCCGTCATTTGTGTAGTTGACGATAAGAACGTTAGTCACATACCTTAAAACATTCTACTACTTACTTGAAATCAAGTGGAGCATCACTGCACCAAGGCGCCAGCAATCTAAGACCTCTGTAGTCAAGGAAAAGTCTTCTACATGGGAGGTCAGCGTCGCGCAGTAGTCGCAGTAAAGCAGTTTGTGCTCGCCGTGTCTTAGCTCGGACCACGGTACGTGAGAGCCGAAGTGTATGACTCTGGTTCTTCACGCCGGTACGGCCCAAGGCTTCCAGATCTTCTTCAATCTAAATTAATAAACAGTCAAGAATAAAGAAATGAACAGCAAGCCATTATAATTGAATTATTTGGTCAAAATCCGACATTTTGTATAATTTTATTTTCTGGGAACTTAAACCAGTGATGCACTCATTTTTTAATTCATTACACTATCGAAAAAAGAAAATTATATTGGTGAAATGGTTTTACAAATAAATAAATATAATATCTTACGTCAGCATCCTGCACCAAGTCAGGAGCTTTGGGTTTGTATGTGCGGTCCTTCTTGGGGCGTCGAACTTTCGGTCGCGGCTGCTCTGTAGGTGTAGCGTGGGACTCCTCCGAAGACTCCGTTGTACCAGACTTTGAGGTAGACACATCTTCGTCCTCCTGAGGTCAGTGTAAAAATTTTGTTATTATGTCTACCTGGATTTACTGAATAAATGTCCTTTTTCTATTTATTTATTTTATACAAATACAAGCATGATCTGGTTGGAACAGATAACATAAAACTGTGGTACATGCAATTTTCTTACTTGATTTAATTTTTTTTTACTGTCGTCATGCATTAAAATTTTAGTTAGTTAAATGTTTTAAAATAAAAGATGATAGATTGATGAATGGAAGATAATCGAGACTGAGGAAAACAGAATGAAGAGTAATAATCAAAACCATTTCCTTTTTCTCTTCAAATAGTCATCATCTTCACGCTCCCATGTTTCTAGATATACAAAAAAGGTTGTATACCTTTGAAACAGCCAGGATTAGTCACACTCTTGTCATGCGAGAAGTAAATAAAATGTGCTTATATACCGTTATGCGTCGTACCTCGTCATCTTCATCGTCAGAGTCAGGCTCGCCCCCGATCCAGCCGCGGCAGTTGTCGGCGCCGCAGTAACAGCGCTGCGCCACCTTTCTGCACGTAAATAACACATCTCTGTTACCCACCAATCACCAATACACCCACTGGAACCGATAATCCAATTTGTCAGATATGAACAATATAATTATTTTAATTGTAGGATGACGAATTTTGGAGTTGTATTATTTTATGATTTATTACATTACATTACACATAGATTACTACAATTAAAAAGAACATAAAAAAGTCTGTGTTCTTTATATGGATCATTTTTTAATAATACAAATGCTATTCACAGTCCTGTACATATGACTTACTATTAACATAATTATTATGTTTTATTTATTTTTATACTTATATATTCCAAGGTCGCTACATATCTGTGAGGCATACCACACTTCATGTTGAATTAATTCAATAAAAGTCTGTATCTATCAGTTCAGTTTTAAGTACCTGTGTATGTGTCAATATCAACTCACAGTCTATGTAGTACACACATACACCCAGATTTATTTACCATAATATGAGTAAATAGAAACCAAAGATATACCTCACATTGACCTTGATAGTAAACTATTTGAAATGCGCTATTAGCATAGACTAGCAACTTCTATAAGTAATATAAGAAAGAACTACTTACCCAAACCTCTGGAACTGATAATCAAACGTAAGTTCTTCCCCAGCAACAATGTCCCTCTTACTGAAGAATCCAATCCGAAGCTCTCCATTGACAGTCCACTTCTGTGTCTCAGCATTAGGGTCACAAGAGTGGTTGATGAAACGTGATATGTTGCCCTTGAGTGTCGCGTCAATGACCGTGTCGCCCTTCAGCGACATGAAATAGTGATGCAGGTTGTTGTCAGCTGAATATGCCTGAGCCCGCTTGTAGAACTGCTCGTAATCAAGCACTTCGCCCACATATTCGAGAAGAAATTCACCCCTAGAAGAGTAGTTTAACAAATAATATAACTGTTTGTAACAGTAAATGTTTGAAATGTCGATATTTCTATCATTCAACATCATCATGTTCCATTGTATTAAGATAACCTTGCAATATTGTGATTAGCAACAAAATTAATAACTGCATAGTAGAAATGTAATCTATGAAATATTAGGAACTACACATCTTTATAAACAATCCAACAATTTTTACAACAAATGCTCATGATTCAAAATTCGCAAGGCATTGTACTAAATAATTTAATTACCTGCTTGGTTACTACAAAGACTACTAATTACTAGTGTTTAATTTCTATGTACCAGTAGGAATTTTCGCAATTGCGGTATTTACTTACGCTGGGATATCAACGATAGCCTCCACACCACACCCCTTCTTGTCTGCATAGAAAACCTTAAGAGGTGCATTTTCCTTAGACTGGAACCTTCTGTTAGTACATCTATCACCTACTGGACATCGGGAATTACTGGAATTTACGAACATAAGACATTTAAATAAAATTTTTAATAAAACATCTGACATATCAAGTATTAACTTTAACACAATAATTACCATTCAATCATAAGCAGTCTATTGAGGCAGTCCTCTCCACAAGCTAGTTCCCCTCTCTCCAATTCTTCTTTGGTCATAAAACAGTCACAAGTCATCTTCTTTGTCTCCTTACTAATCATTCTCTCACATAAATACTCATTTTCATCTAAATGTTGATACTGGTTCATTCGCTCTTCAATTATTCTATCATAATCTTCTTTAGTTAAAGGAGGTGCATGTTGTTCTTCTTCTGGTAAGCTGGGACATTCAGCCACTGGAGGTAACCTCTGTGGCAGACTGGGGCTTGCCAAAGGTGAGTTAGCAGGGGAGCCAGCACCCATCTCTAACTCACTAGACCTACGCCACCGAGACTTCACCTTCACAGGCATCTCAGAAGGCACAGGAAATGAAGGTGAATTAGGTGTAGTACCTGGCAAAGACTCACTAGATTTTTCCTGACTGTCAGATCCAATTTCTTCGAGTTTCAGCTTTGTCTGTGTTATCAAAGCCTTCTTTAATGGTGTTTTTACTAATCCATAGCCTTTTGTTTTCTGTTTCAAATTGCTTATTGTCTTAATGCGACTGGATCTCCTAACACCCGTAGGAGAAGATTCTGCTGAATCATTTGAGTTATTCTGGTTTGGTTCTGCCACCCTAGATGAGTTACTATCATCTGAGAGTGTAGAACTAGGTGTGAGACTAGGATCTGGTCTCATTAGAACTTCATTTAAACCTTCTTTAAATTGTATGTCAGGAGTTAAACATGGTGAGGATGATATCTCAATCACTTCTGAACATTCCATAGGAATGTTCGAATTTGATGTTGCAATATTTAACTTTTCAAAATGTTCTTGGAAATCATTGTTTTGTGAATTGTCCTTACTCTCTTCATTATCAATGTGTTCAGTTATATGCTCTTGTGGACTATCAATCTTGATGTTGTAATAAAGCTCTGGGTGGTCATCTTCACTATCTGAACAATTGTAATGACTTCATCATCATCCCCTGTAAATTCTATTTGTTCTTCTTCCAATGGAATGTCTTCAACCTGTACTTCTTCTATCTTTGATTCCTTGTGGGAGTCATCTATAATGTGGTGACTGTCATTAATACTAGGAGTGGAGTCAGTTTCAATCAAATCAATAGTACTTAACTCCATACACTTCTCATTTGCTTCATCTTTGTTCAATAGTGGTGTTTCACAATTCGATGGTAATTCAGTCAGTGCAGGTACAGGTGATATGTCTCTAGAATTGCTCTGTGTTATTATTGTACTATTCAAAGGACTCAAATTCGCCCCACTGTTAGTATCAGACTGTGTATCTAAAGCAGCATTAGAATCTGACTCGGAGCTTGCACAAGGATCAACAACTCTTATTTCTACACTACTATTTGTTTCACTGTCACTGCCAATATCATATTTTCTAGTAAATGTCTCATCATTATTGAATAAACATCGATATTTACCGAATTTCTTATGCAATGCTACGATTGGTACTTGACAAGGTTTAGTAATGGCATTGCCTGAAGATTCTGATGTTTCTGGTGCCTCTGGGGCCTCTGGAGCCTGTGACTCGGGAGCAGTGGGTGCATCGGTAGGTATTGACTCTGTTGCTTGGCTCGTTTCAGAGGTGGTCGCCTCGATTGAGCCAGAAGCTTCACCGTCAGCAGCCGACGCTGCTTCGGCCTGCTGCTTGGCGCTTCGAGTTGTACGACGCGTCGCCACGGTTTTAGCTGCTGCCTTCTTTCTTTTCGCCATTGTACTGTTTTAACGCAGCAACATACAACCTAAAAATGTAATTGTTTTAGATCACAGATAGAATACAGTCGAGCATAGTGACCTCTTTCATTCGTTGTTGTTTCTCATTACTGTCAATGCCACATGGTTATAACAAAAATTAAACGATTTGATTTGCGGTTATGAATCAGGTAAACAATGTCCACTATTATTTTTACATGTTAGGTGGTCTGTTTTGAAACACTTGTGATTTCATGCAAGGAAGCCACCGGTTGGTATTGATGGTATAGCAACAACAATTCAAGATACAATTTGACTACATACCATTACTTTTTGGATGTAATTGTATTTCTTGTATTTACTGAAATACTATTAAATGTACAAAACTACTAGACTCTCTCACAAATTAAATGAAACATTAGTAACAAGCAAATTTCATTTTTCACATTTTAGTTCATTGCTTTTTTTTGTTGAGTACTACCATAGACAAGCAACTTAAAATGAACAACGACCAAAGACAACAAAATTATATTAAATGTAAAAAATATTACTATGGTCTTTAGCATTTAAGGGATAATATTGCCAATGAGAGTTTCTTTATTACATTATTTATAGTCTGAAATCGTATACCATCCTAAATTAAGCGCAAAGTAAAGAATATATCCAAAAAAGATGAAAGAACTTAGAAGAAACTGAAGTAACTAACGACCGTAACGGCAAGACAAAAATCCAGAAAATAAAAAAAAACCCAAGCAACCAAAATGGCACTTCATCATACATTTTACCTATAAATTACAATAACTTATGTATTTCTTAGTATAAGCTAATGCTTAGTATTAGTACCAGTTTAAGACCTAGAAGACAAGCCGAATGAATCTATGAATAAAATATTTCTGTGAAATGTGAACATTGTGAACGCGACGAGATGACGTAGTGACGTTCCAATTTCCAATATCTCATGTCATACACGTCAAACTATATAAGCGTCAAGAAAAATAACCAAAGGGCCGAAAGGAAAAGCTCGCAGAAAAGTGTTAATTCAATAAAAACTTTATTTTAAGCTTATAATTATAGTCCAGTTAATAAAATTGTAAAATGGCTGAAACTCCAGAGGTGGGTTTAGGTTCCCTTCATTCATATTTCCTCGTATGCTAACATACGAAAAGACACGTCACGTTTAATGTTTTTGAAATGTAAAAGTTGCAGGCGGTATCTTAGTTTTTCTGTAATTTAGTGCTCGAATACAAATTTTATGCCATTTATGTAAGAGTAAGTGTAGATAATGTATTTCTATTCATTTATGGTAACAATAAATTTTTAATGTTCATTCCAGACCGTGAAAATCAATAAGTGGGATGGAGCTGCCGCTAAGAATGCTATTGATGATGCTATTAGAGAGGTATAATAAGATTTTAATTATTATTCTATCTGTATTTCAGATCCAGTCTTACATTTGTACCTATGAAGGTAGGTCAAAGTTGTACACAATGCCTGTTTTTGGGTCATATAAAAAAATATTACTAGATTTAATTGGATTATAGAATGAGAGTTAGTTGGATCATAGAACATGAATAACTACTGTTAAAAGATATCTCAAGATGGGTCAGAAATACCAAGGTTTAAGTACTTATAATAAGATACCTCTCTTACAAAACTATTAAACTGGTTCTTAGTCTCACCCTCTACTCAAAATGAAAGTACAAGATGTTTTAATCAGATTTATTATTGTACTAGGGACCCGTCCCGGCTTCACACTGATACAATATGCATTTATTATAAAAAAAACTGCCTCAAGAATCACTATATCCATTAAAAAAACTGCATCAAAATCCGTTGCATAGCTTTAAAGATCTAAGCATATATAGGGACAGACTGACGGCGAATAGCGACTTTGTTTTATACTATTATTCTATTGATTATTATTTATTGCAGGTATTAATATAAATTCAGATAAATATGTTCAGAGTAAAATAATGTTTGTATGAAAGTATTAGGCAATATGAACTCCCAACGAGAAAACTTCCTGCTGTTCTATAATAAAAATAAATTAAATTATTTCAATAAAAATGTACCTATATCACATATAAACATGTTGCGGAGAACCTAACGGGTTGCCGGGGCTCCGTCTCGAAGTGCAGGAGAAGGAATGGGGTGGTTTTTAGTCAGTAAGAGTCTGACACTCCCTCCCGCCTCACCCAGGCGGGAGCAAGTATTTGATGATCTTCTCCCTTTAAAAAATCACATATAAACATTGTTTATCAATCTAGTTTGTAAATAACTTATATGACCATGGTCTTGATAAAAGAGTCTCTGCTTTGTATGAGGAACCTAAAATATATAACTCTCTTATTTATTTATTTATTTAAGTTTTATACAATTGCATAAGGAAGACTTAATGCTAACAGCATTCTCTGCCAGTCATCCTTTGGGTAGTGCAGAAATGTATGTGGTCTTATCTTGCAGGTGCTGACAGGAGATCTGAAATGTAAAGAGAGCTTTGCTCTAATTGATGGGCGGCTGTTTCTCTGTGCATTAGCTGTTGGAGTGGCTCTATATGCATTGCTCTGGGATTACTTATACCCATTCCCACAGTCAAGGTGTGTATGATATGATTTATAGTTTTTAGTATTGTTATTATAAGTACCCTACATTAAAAATTAATCAAAAAGTTTGTTTGGGTTTGGCTAAAAATGTTATGCTGATGAGTTCACTATTCAAACTATGTCCACAATATTTTTAATTACCTTTGCAATGAATAGTAAAATTAACTAGCAATACATTGCAATAACAATAATTGTACACACACATATATATTTATACCAATGATTAAGGAAATGTATTGTATCAATATGTATATTAAATTTAAATCGAAACTAGAAATACTATCAGGGTAAATGTGGCATGTTTTGGTCTGGTTTGACCAGTATGTTATTATAAACAATCTCATTTGAAATAATTTTTGGAATCCCCCTTTTTTAGTTTTTCTTTTTTATAATCTGGATGTTCTCCTAAACAAGAAAGAAAAATATTCATTTAATAATATGTAGATTAACATAAATAATATTTTTTTTTTTTCATTACAGACTGGTCCTCATAATCTGTGTCTCTTCGTACTTCATCTTGATGGGCATTCTCACACTCTACACAACATTCAAAGAGAAGGGAGTCTTTGTAGTGGCCAAGGAAAAGTCTGGCAACATTAACAGGGTCTGGGAAGCTAGCTCTTATGTTAAGAAGTAAGTTGGTAAACAGTAATCAACTTTAAACTCTAGGAAATATAGTTATAATTAGTTTGGTTATTGTGTCAATGGAATGTCATTTTAGTGCCGATTTTTCCAATGCCAAATAAATTTTAACACTTATATCATACTAGTTTCTGCCCACGACTTCGTACAGGATTTTATTTCTGTTATAAGAACCTTCTCCTGAGAATAATAAAAACAACAATGGGTTTAATTTTTATATATATAGACTACGTCTACAGTTTAAAATTAACTGATTATTGAAAAACCGGCCCTTAGTCTCTGTAATTTTTTATCAAATAGACTGTAACTGGTAATTACAACATAAACTATAACATAAGTAATTACTCTCAATAACATGTAATCTCTTCTTGATGACAAATTATATGATTAGAACAAATTCTTCAGTCATTTGGAAAGCATACATATTTATTTAATTCAAGACATTTACACCAACTGTACGGTTGTGGTGCGGTGGCTGGGCACCCGGCTGCCATGCAACGTGTCGCGGGTTCGATTCCCGCACGGAACAACACTTTGTGCGATCCACAAACTGTTGTTTTGGGGTCTGGATGTCATGTGTATGTGAACTTGTATGTTTGTAAACGCACCCACGACACAGGAGATAAACCTAGTGTGGGGCAACATTTTTAAAAAAAAAAAAACTTACGCCACATAGATGATTTTACGGATCAGCCCTTGTTAACCTTTACAACATAATATCAATTATAATTGTTGTTGTATTTTTAGGCGAATTGTAAAAGACAAGGTAATCACAATAGAACAGCTTTTAAACATTAGTAAAATTAATCTTGTTCAACAGACATGATGACAAGTACAACCTGGTCCTAGTGATGCGCGACTCCTCCGGCAAGTCCCGTGAAGCCTCCATTACCAAGTCGTTCGCCAACTTCATTGATACCAACGGAACCATCGTCCAGAACCTCGTTGTCAACGAGATCACCAAACTTTACAACTCCCTCTCCTCTGAAAAGAAGGAGAAGTGATCGCTCTCTCGCACAAACTAGATAAGGTCTGACATTATTGTAACATTATTACTCGTAATAAACAAATGTCTTATTTAAATGTTGTTTCATATTATATTTATATTATTATTATTATAGCTTCCCTAGGTTATTGTGTTTCCTGTTTAGTGGGAGTTTTAGTTCATTTAATTGTTATTTCAGGACAAGCTATGGATGACCCCATGTCATGTCATCAGGTATGTTATCACGAAATAGAATTGTAATGTTATGGTACTCTTAGGTAGTAGTAAAATAGTGGGAGTAATGTAGAACTCATTCTGTAGTGTTGTCTGCAGTAACTAGATGTCGCTGGTGTTTGAAATAAAGGCATACTTTTGCATCGTTGTTATCATTGATACATTAAATATATAGGTATAAAATATAGCTCTTTAGGTGTATTAGTTACAACTGAAATCAAGTGCTTTTCTCACGGCACAAATCACTAATGTGAGTACTAGTTAGTTCTGTAATATTACGGCAGATGTCGCTATTTCGCTAAATTCTACTAAAATATGTAGAGCGCGTCCAACTTCAGAATTTACACAAGTTATTTTACGTGAACCACATAGAGTTCCTAATCAAACGAATTTTGTCGTAGCGTCCTCATGGTGGGCACTTTTCATTTTGGTGGCATTTTCCTCATATTCGGCGTGAAGTTGTGTTGTTGGTGTTCAATGTCAGAAGAACAATGACTCACGCTTGACGGCATGGAGCGAGATCGAATGCGCTACAGTCAGTCAGTAGGTCGGTCGGAACCGCTGGTACGTCGTGGGTGCCATTCACTCACGATTAGCTAATATGTACTAGAATTAAGTAACGCAATAGTGGAAATAGTTTTAAAATAAAAAGCTGAATTAAATAGTGATGTGAAACTGAAACAATAAGTGCAATTATCGCTCAAATTTTTATACTTTAATTATACAAATAATTTAAAACGCCTTGCAAACTAAATTCACCTAAAATAGATTACATGTTTTCATCGTAGTTTTCCTTGGAATTAAATTATTTAAGGTAAGCCGCAAGTATTATGACATAAACCAGGTATTTCCCTATGAGACTTTTGTGTTATAATTATGTAGGAAAAATAATTATATTATTGGTTGGATACTGTAATAGTGTAGAAGCGTTGAATTAAAATAGTACTTATTTTAAATCCCTTGTCGGAGGGAGTGAAGCTTTTGGCGGGGTGAATCAATATTTTTAAGTTCAGCGTCGTCAGTTGTGTTGTAAATCAATAGTCTGCTTGCAAAGATTAGAGGCACAGTTTGAGTAAAACCGGCAGTGTTATGACATCATCGGAGTGACCTGAACCAAGGACTCCCTGATATACCTAACTACCTATATATCTATATGCGTACACTTTGTTTATAATCATTTTAAATAGATGTTACTATTGTCGGTCTACTCTAATTACATCCGCGTACGTCTCAATTTTTTACGAATTGTTTTAACACACATACGACCTTTGATATATTTTCTCATACCATAATTACAATATTAGCTACGCTGCGGTATAATAAACATAGTTTTTAATTACATGCTAGACTCAACGACAGGAACGGTGCTAAATTTAGTATGCTATTATATTAAAATCAGTAGTTAAGGTCGTTGCGTTACTTAGATTTGTGTTTAACAATTAAATAAAGATATTTTATGGAGGGATGTGTGCAGTTTATTTAAAACACTGCATGTTCTCAGTGAGTGTAAAGTCACCTGACTTCACGTGTTAAACTATTAAACTATACGACAACGATTATTTCACAAGACGATGCTATTTTAGTTCTGGCTTGAGTATCAACGCATGGCATACATGCCGCACTACAGTGTGCACACAGTGCAAAATACAGTAACACACTTCGTAACCGACCTTGAAATGCCGGTCGAATGTTGCAAAAGTCGTGGGGTTCGCGGTCATTGACCTCGCTGTCAGCTGGAATTTTTGCTTCCCTATTTATTGGCGTAGAGCAGGTGGTACGTTAGCCTCGTCTCGTACATCAACTACATCATATTGACGTCGTGTTTTACTGTTCTCACGCTGTTACGTGATTGAGCCAGTCTGCGTATAACGTGAAACTGATTCTCGTCGCGCTGACTCAAATAAAATTGGAACTGAATTCGACGTGTATCGCACCCTTGCCAACATTTAAACCACACTGTTTCTTACGAGAGCTGTAATTGTTAGTGAAAATACGAGTTCGTTCAAAGCGTTGAGAACTTTTATTGTAAATAGAAGATGACAAACAGATGTAGATAGATTAACTATTAACATGAAACATATGTACTTACAACACTATGCGTTTTTCTACAATGGTATAATAATGTACGAAATAAGTATTTCATAATTAGGTTATAGGTATGTGTTAGTGATATCAAACAAATAATTCTGATCTATTCAATATTCTACGTAAAATCCTTGAAAATTAGGATTGCTGGAATCTATTCTTACTTCTTACTTTTAAAACTCTTAAAACTTCTGTCATGTTTGTTTTTATCACTAAACGCAAATATTCTAATATTTACCTGCATCACCATTACATTTTACAGTTTCTAACTCGTACATATGTGACTAATAACTATGTATTATATTTTCCTTGAGAAACAATCAGCGTGAAGTTTCTATTATACTAATGTATTTTCTTTTCAATGGACTAGGTAAGGATTGTTGCGTAACAATCTAGCGGTGACCCGACGACATTCTTACATAACATTTTCATTTACACTAGGTAATTTTCTTTGAGTTTTGTGAGCCAAATCACCTAATTTATGGTCGCTTATTTAAAACTGTTAACTCGAGTCTGAGAATGTGGAACACAAGATAAAAAAATTTCAACAATGAAAAGTCCTTTTACTCTACAATGGTAGCAAAACAGAATTGAAATTTGGCATAGAAAATAATAAAGACAGATCAATTAATATTAGAAAACACATGACAAAAATAATTGAAATCCTAAAAAAAAATAAGAGACAGCTCATCAGTCGTTTAAGATTTGCAACAAACATCAATGAGTTAATCAAGACAATGAGATTTGCCATTAATAATTATTTATTCCCCCATTCATTCTATTGTTTCTACTTTCTAGTTTCACACGTTTAGTACGAACGTTACGTAAACAAGCGACTGAGATAAACCGATAAGCACACACGTGTTTGACCTTGCTAAGCGTTATCATTCAGTGCAACCTGCAACGCAGATACAGGAAGATATTAGCGATTTAATTAAGAGCTGCTAATATCGTATAGAACGTCGGCGCTAGTATTCATATAATATAGGTACATAGAATATTTGATTAGTTATTTGTGTCCCCAACCACCTGAGATTAACCAGAGAAAATTTATGGTGGTAGCGACGATTATTTTTATAGATTGATTGTGGTCTGTGATTGAAACACTTATTAAGTATTACAACCGCTTAAGGTCGGGGTAGACACTATATCTTTCTGCTTTTTGACTGTTGCTCTTACACTAGTAGGTACTTTAGGAATAAAATTGTGCATTCGATCTACTACCTGTAGTCAATAATATCTATAGCCAGGAAAGTACCTAACAATTTAATCAATCTCGTATATGAGTAACAGGTTTGTGTAACTGTATGAATTGTTATTTACAAATCCACGAAATTTTCCGATTGAATAATCACTATTGGTATGTGATAGAATACGCAAGTTTTATTTATAGCAGCAGTTATCAAAACATTATCAAAATTAAATTTTCTTTTGTAAAACCGGACGGTGTAAGCACCTATTTATTTAAAACTGTTCTATTATTATCGTATTGGTTTTCACAATTGATATCGAATCGATTTCAATGCTTCGCGTGCAAAAACAGTTAGGTATACTAGTACGTACCTAAAAAGTACTAGTCAAAGTATTTTATTAATCTTTACTTGCTTATACAGTCAATAGAATCAGAAAATTACCACAAAATGAGACAAGTTTATGGACAATAAACCGACGACGTTCGAAACAGCTAAAAATATACATTTTATTTTAACATCTCACTTGATGAGTTGACAGAAACCTTGAGTTAAATTACAAGCGAGAGTTAAAAAACAAAATTGTAATGAAACTAACCAGAATATTCAAAATAATCGAATTGATTTTGAATATTTTTACCAGATGCTTTGAACTGTTTATAGCGTTTGATTGGGAACAGATGGTATTTCCCGAGGAAAACTAATTTTGTCCGGTGAAAATGATATCGTAGAAGTATTCATCTATCATATTAAATGCGTTTTGATGATTACACAGTGAGTTATAGTCAATGATCGTAACAAATGTGCTAATAAAGTAAGGAGTTCCACAGGGATCTATTATCGGGCCCTTCTTAATATTTTAACAGGGCACTTAACACTTTTATGTTATTTAGATTTATTCACCTTTTCTTTGAAATTAATTTGCTGGTTCTAATTTAAACGGTGGCTTTTAATAAAGTTTAAAATAATTAAAACATTGTTCCAAGTCAGAAAATGTACCATATCCTGTCATTTCATTCGTTGTGAAGCGTAACCCAGTAGGTATGTAATACGATAAAAACTATGTTCTTACTTTTAAACAAGATTATTATTTCATTCTTTAAGTCTGATTTCTACCGTAAATAATTGTCTGACCTTGACCGCTCTGTTATCAGTCTTGCGTAAAGTCTCGTTGGAATTATGTGGTTTGTTCCTGCTTTTGTCACTATAAAAAGCAAGTGATAAGCGAGTAAGTGTATCATTGAAGTTAATAAGTTTAATTGTTAAGTGCATAATGTCACATTATATGGTTTAAGCAGTTTTGCTCGTTAGGAATAATTTGTAGTAGGTATCAATGTAGCATGCACGAAGTATGCATGATGACAATACAAGTACCTAGGTATTTCTTACAACAAGGATAATGTAATTTGTTCAAATGACGGTTTTCCTTAACGGCCAGACTTTCTTTCTTCACTTTAAATTATCCTCATATCTGTCATTCACTAAGCCATATAGATCTACTCATGCCCATAAAAACCATATAAAACATGGATTGCAACAGAGGTTTGGAGATTTTATCATAAGTATTATACCGTGAACTGTCGTTGCTAGATTTTAAAGGTACATATTGACAATATAGTATATGGTATTTGTTCCAAAATGTTGTTCCCTATAGATAGAGAATGAGTGAAGTATACCGTTGTGTATAGAGATAACAAATCGTTGTTCACTCTAACAGTTTCGTATTTGTTCAACACTGACGCGTCTACTTGCTCACCTCATAAGACAAGGCCACAATTAACATTCAGGCTTCGCGCCCGTACCCATTCAATACCAGTAACTCACGTACCTGTATGAAGATAAACAAAATTAGTACAATATATACTTAATAGAAATTATTTCATTGATATGTCATGATTTGTCAAAATGAAATAGTAGGGGAGCCCACGATGCTAAATTTGGATTTACTTGAGCGTCGTTGGGACCTACTGGATTTTGAAGATATGCTGATAGAAAGAAGAAATGGTTTAGTGACAATTTCTTCCACAGGTGGGGGGAGGGGGAATCCACAGATCTTTGAAATTGTTAAGCGTAACTTTTGTTCTAGTCATCGAGCGTGTCAGATATTTATAGTGTGCATGCTCCATTTGTATTTTATAATAAAAAAACTCTTGATCTGCCAGTTTGCATGGTGGGGTTGAATGTTCTGGAGAGTATAAACGAGAACCCTTCAACATCCCCCCACTCTTGCAAATTAAGTTGTAATGGGCAGATTTTTTAAACGCACTTCCTTTAGCATGGTATTGACCTACCTTCCCTTAATCTGACGAAACTGACTTTATTTAGTCAGACTTTTTTTAAAATTTTTAGTCCCCCCCTTCTAATCATGTCGGATATATGGTGGGTATATTCAACATGACCTTAGGTTGTCCCCATATGTTAATCTGACGCGTTCGAGTAAATTCTGAAATCCCTTCATGGGCTACTAAAATGTTTGAAAAGAAAACTAAGCGTAAGGCGATGCGTATACTGTCATGGTTTTGTTGACTTTAATAAGGTTGAGTGCTTCCGGAATCGTTAGGTATCACATATCGATAGAGAATAGAGTAATAAGTTTGATACGTCCTAGCTAGTATATTATTTAAGTTTCTATCTTTATATCCAAAGGGAATCTTTCTTTTAAGTTTTATCTCAGGTTCTGAAGATGTACACAAATATTATGCACGTCGTCTGTTAAATAAATATATGTGTAGGTAGTCTGCTTGTATTCAAACGTATAACGACTGCAATCTTAGAACAGGAAATTAATGCTGTATTCACTGTATAGCTGTGAATAATGCAGGTCCTGTACCTACTGTGAGCGACATAAGATATATTTAGGTGTAGGACATTTAGTTGGGTTAAAAGTAGAGATTTAAGGCCTTGATTCGGTTTCGGGTACTTTGACTGGGAGATTGTTTTACAGATTTTCTTTTATGAAATATGTCAGTTAAGCTATAAAGAGAATAAGAATCTTAATCGACAGTGGTGAAATTGTAAAACGTGCTCTAAGATTTCGACGGGATTTCTGCAAAACGTCGACGTTACAACGAGCATTCTCGTCTCGCTCCGGGCTCAGTATTGGCAAAGTGATAAAGCCCTCGGTTACATAACAATATTGTCTCTAGTTAGTCGAGACAATGTTTATCATTCTTCAAGCCTTCCAAGGTCAGACGGCATCACAGACGTTACTATAACGTCAGTTTGCACACGAGCATTGAGTTTGCACACCATGTTGCTACCTAATCCATTTTTCCATGTATGTATAGGACATGGCAATGTCGTCAATCTAGTCTTCTACAGGTTTATTAAGTATAGACGACGGTATTATCAGATAAGCTTTGTGTATCACCTACCCATCGGCATTATCACGGCATGGCGTTAAGGGTCATGCACAAACGCCGCGCCTTTCATGCGTGATCGCTACGTGATAGATTATTAATTTATTATTATCTTTATATCGTCTAACGTGCGCTTTTTAATCGTAGTCTCGTAGGAATATCTTAATCTGTCTGTCAGTCAGTTACTACGGAAATGGGTAATTAAGAATTTATTGGGAAATCCGCTGGTTAATTTCTTTGATTTCATTTATGGAGTTTTTGAGATATTACATACCTTTTTAGGCTTTACTAAATATTGAACCTATTTTAATTTTAAATCAAACATTTGTATGTACCTACCCGTACCTAATATCTTTTGTTCGTTTTCTGTAAGAAAGTTTAGTGTTGAGACAACTTCTTTTAATCACACATGAGTTTATTGGCACGACTTTACTGTAACTACTGTGAGATGTGACTTATATTCAACCGAATCAAACTAGTATTTGTACTATAAGTTATGTTACTAAGAGCCAATTTCCCATAATATCATAACCAGTCATTACCTAGACCTACGATAATGACGATGCGATGTCGTTGTGTGCGAATAGCAACGTAAGTAACACAAAAATTATGAAACAAGAAAAAGATTTTACAACCGTTTGACGTAAAAGATAACAATTTGAGCAAATCATCTTCCGTGAGTGGGTGATGATAAGCGATGAGTAAGTCAGTGCATACGAAATTATTGATACGGTCAATAGTTGCCTGCCTAACTAGGTACCGATTGTTAATTATTTATCGCTACGTTTTCTTATGATGAAATTCCTGTATTGTAGTCGGCAATACAGAACAATGACTGTATTAAATAGTACCTATATAAAAAGCATTTTTTTTTTGTATCTGAATACGAACTTACAATGTTCGCTTTTTGATTTAGTTATTTAATTGAATATCTGTAGTTATTGTCTGTAGTATCTGGAGAAAATCGTCGACTGTCTTCTCCTGCCTGGGTGAGGTGGAAGGGAGTATCAGACTCTTACTGACTAAAAACCACCCCGTTCCTATTCCTGCACTTCGAGCCGGAGCCCCGGTAACCCGTTAGGTTCTCCGCGGCTCCGAATGGGCATCAGCCCTATTGGGCCCCATCCGTGGTGGTCTGATGGCTCTTTGAAGCGCGTGCGGAACGCGACGCGCCGTACGCTAGTTATTATTCAGATTACCGTAATATTAATATTAGCTTTGAGTTAATTGTTCTCTTTTCTCTAAGTTACATGCACAAATAATGTAACTAAAATCGTTCAAGTGGCTCTTTAGATACTCTGATTTCTTTCTGCTTCACTGAACATGTCAGATAAATCGAGTCTCGTATAATGCATCATGCATCTAACGTTGCAGACATAATTTGTACTAAATTACTTGCATACTTAAGTACCTACATTATTTTTAATTCAGTGATTTTCTTATCTTATATCTTATACTATTATATAAAGCGGAAGAGTTTGTTTTTTTGTTTGTTTGTTTGAACGCGCTAATCTCCGTAACTACAAGTCTGATTTGAATAATTATTTTTGTGTTGGATAGCGCATTTATCGAGGATAATAGGAGCAATAGGAGCCAATAGGAGCTGAGCAGAGCGTGTGAAACCGCGCGGAAGTAGCTAGTATCATCGTTACTAATATTATAAATCGGAAAGTGAGTTTGTTTGTTTGTTCCACTTTCGAACCGTAACTACTAAACCGATTGCTTTGAATTTTTGCAGACGTGAAGTTAGAAGTCTGAATTAAATAATAGGGTACTTTTTATTCCGGAAATCCTTTTGATATTCTCAAGGGAAAACGAAATTATTGGTATAGATGGCGCTGTGTGTATTGGTATATGTCACATAGCCTACTTTTTATCCTTTTGTGACGCGAGCGAAGCCGCGGGTAAAAGCTAGTTATAAAATAAACTATAGGCTCCACCTCTCGTTTTACCTTGAAATAAATTGTAAGAAAATCATGATAACATTTTAATATATTTATGTGTAGCGTGTTTGAATCAACAACTGTGATGGAAGGCCATGTTAATTGCTATCAAATGACGGTGTTACATAAACACTATTGTCATATTTATTGAGACACATAATGCACCTTTGTGAGCAATAGAGCGTTGGACATATTTCACTGAAGTTAATTGATTTTTTTTTTAATTGAGTGAACCTTAACATTATCTATAATTTTTTTAGATGGGAAAAATCTTGATTTTAAAAGACCTCTAACGGTCGTTTTTGCCAATACAAGGTAGCTTAGCGTTGCTTAGCACCTTAACCAACCCCTTATTTGTACTGTTAGGTGACAATTATTGGTTGGTTATTACTAAAACGAAGTTTAATGTCATCTATCTTAGCTTTACGTTTAGCTTAGGGGTTTCTTTCAAATCTAGAAATTTGGTGAAAACGGGTATAAATCTTGTAAAGTTTGAGTTCAGTTTATGGATATTTTACTTAAAATAGGCGAGGCTCTAATGGCTTTCTACGTTCTCCCTAATTTTACATGTCCTCTTTTCCTTTCAGAATAATGTCTCGCAGAAGATTGTTAATTGGCGGTGCGGCGGGCGTCGCGGGCGCAGCTCTCACAGCTTGGGCGGTAGCAGCGGATGATTCACCGGCGGTACGTATCGAGCCGTGAGGAAACCCTGCATTATCTGGGGGACCCGATAACACCGCTTTTCCTTTGCCCCTTTTAATATAAACTGTAGTATGTATGTACTGCGCATAAATTCGGTGTTTTATCTTATCTCCATACACGATGAAGCGATTTTCGTGTACTTAGATTACATTTTCGTTGTTGAAATGAGGAAGTCATTGTAGTTTGATAGGTACCTATAGATCCCATACTAAGTAAAGAGTAATTAGGTTCTATAGTAGGTATTGACTTAATCTGAATAGAAATGTTTGCACATAATATTTGGTCGCATTTAGCTTAAAAACGTAGCAGACAGCTATGAAAAAACATAAAATACTCATATCAGAAATTTAGAATAACTTGCCTTTTAAGAAAAAGTTAATTTAGCACCTTCTAATCCATAGCAATGGTACAAAGCGACGACGGTATCAGCGAAGACGGAACGCAAGAAGCGACCTCTACCGTCGCGCGACCATCAAGTCGCCTCCTTACAAGCTGGACATACCTTCGACATCCTTATTATTGGAGGAGGTGCGACCGGTGTGGGATGTGCACTGGATGCCACTACAAGAGGTAGGTATCATAGACAAACAAGGTTAATCTTTATCTATTCAGCAGCTGTAGCCAAATGCCATTTAGCGCTTGTCTACATGTAAACCAAATTATATGGAATTGACGTAAATGTTGACATTTGTCAGTGTCATCCTCATACATTTAGTTTTCTACTCTCTGTGTAGACAAGCCCTAAAGTGGCGTTTGGCTAAAGGCACAGAATACTTAAAAACACTTCCGTCATTTTTCTCGGTAGACGCAGAAAGATTCCAAATAAACATAGGATATATTTAGGTGATTGGCAAAAAGAAGTAATTGAAATTGGTGATCTAATGTATTGCAAAGCATAGGGTATAATTTTAGCATGTAATTTGGTGTTAGAATGAGATTTAAACGATTTAAAATCCTATAATTTATCTAAGATACAGAGACTCTTTTACTTAGGCAATTAGACAGTAACTACTAACTAGCAACCCTAAGTGGTCAGTAAAAAAAGAAATAGTTTGATCGAAGACATTCTACTTATTTCAAATGCTTGATTCTACCTTGACTTGTTGCTACAAACACAACGCTAATCGTCACAGCATGTCGCGGAGAACCTAACGGGTAACCGGGGCTCCGGCTCGACGTGCAGGAGAAGGAACGGGGTGGTTTTTAGTCAGTAAGAGTCTGACCCTCCCTCACGCCTCACCCAGGCGGGAGCAGTCATTCGATGATTTTCCCCCCCTTAAAAAAATCTTATTCTTCTTCATTTTTAAAAAAAATGTTGCCCCACACTAGGATTATCTCCTGTGTCGTGGGTGCGTTTACAAACATACAAGTTCACATACACATGACACCCAGACCCGAAACAACAATTTGTGGATCACACAAAATGTTGTTCCGTGCGGGAATCGAACCCGCGACACGTTGCACGGCAGCCGGTTGCCCAGCCACCGCACCAATCGTGCAGTCTAATCGTCACAGCATTGTTATCAAAATCTTGACCGAGACATACACTCATTGTCGCCGTCCATACGTTTGTCATCTTTCATGCCACAAGCATTTACGACATCCTTAGTCCTTATCAAATTGTAGCGCTTCTAATGATAATGATCACGAACGCGTTGGGTGTGTCTGATTGTATGCGCGTGAGTCGACAACGTGGTTGTAAGACTAATGTAAAATGCTATTAGGTATTTGTAGTACTATTAAGTCGGGGGATTTCAATGCTGTAATAGATCGTTATAATCGTGGTATCTAGATTTATGAGTGGAAAGAGGCAATTAATTAATTAAAACTGTATAGCACAATGTGCATATTCCCATACCTGTGGTATGACTTAATGAAAGCGTAACACTCATTAAGGAAATAATTACTGCATTGGTGTGCGGTGCAAAGCATAATCTGAATCTGGAGTTTAAACTTCGGATAAAAAAAAAGCTACTGGCATAGGTACCTATAGGCTGAATAGGCTCCTCTTTTTGGTCTTAACAACTGGTGCAATTACTTTAACGTTAGAAAAAAACAAACTTTAAATCAAAGTCAAAGTCAAAATTATTTTATTTCAATTACACCAAAAAGGTACTTTTGAACGTCAACAAAAAATTATAACTGAAGCTATTTACTCGTTCCAAGGTGTAGATTCCTGTGGAGAAGAACGAGCAAGAAACTCCATAGGTACTTTTTTTCAATCAGGTTCACAATACAATTCTCTAGTTACATAGTATTATAGTTTGGATTGTGCGAGAACAATGTAACACTAAAATCCAGTCAGAGATCGAAAAAAAATAATTTTAAGGACAATAAATAAAATAAGAGTAAAATATAGTAGGCTTAACATTATCTACATAGGTACAATAATAATTCACATATCATATTATAATCACTACATAGTATAAAACAAAGTCACTATCTGTCGTCTGTCGGTCAGTTTAGATATTTAAAACTAAGCCACGGATTTTGATGCGGTTTTTTTAATAGATAGTGTGATTCTTAAGGAATATTTGTATGTATAATACATGCATATTGCACCCGTGCGAAGCCGGGGCGGGACGCTAGTATAATATATATTATAATATCAATCATATTTTACTTTCAGGTCTTCGCACAGCGTTAGTCGAGGCCGATGACTTCGCCAGTGGAACCTCAAGTCGTAGTACGAAGCTCATCCACGGAGGAGTGCGGTACCTTCAGAAGGCTATCATGCAACTGGATTACGACCAGTACAAGATGGTGAAGGAGGCGCTTCACGAACGAGCCAACATGTTGGAAGTAGCACCACATCTGACGCGACCATTGCCTATATTGTTGCCTGTTTATAAGTGAGTTTGAGTTGTAATTATAAAACATTATTTGCTTACCATCAGGGCATCAGGTAATAGTTCTGCTTGTTTATGGACTAAGGTATCATACCCTCGAATCTTGATACTACCGAGAAAGAACAAACACCCATTTCATTACTTTATAAATACATTTCTTATTTCATATTATAGGATAGTTACAATACAAATACACCAAACACCATACTTATATACTATAGCACATTTTCTATTGCCTCATTTTATTTAAAACTAGCTGTTTCCCGCGACTTTGTCTGTCGTAAAATATGATTCCTGTTTTATCCCATGCGAGCATTTAATCGAGATAAAAATTATCACCTAATGCCTCAGCCCATACCCTGCTTGTATACAAACTTTCATCAAAATCCGTTCAGTAGTTTTAGCGTGATTGACAGACAAATATGTAAACAAAGAAACTTTCACATTTATAATGTTAGTGTGACTAACTTCCCTGCGTAGGACTTCGCCCTCCTACATTTGGTTCTTTTGGAGATTAAAATATTATTCTCTAGGATAAAGAATACCTATCCTATGATAGACTCCGAAAAGTAAACTTTCCAGAACATAACATAACATCACGCCTTTTATCCCCGAAGGGGTAGGCAGAGGTGCACACAGAAGTAACACACACTTTTCACTATTTATGTTATGAGTCCCATGTAATAGGGGGTGAGCCTATTGCCATATACCGGGCACAATTCCAGACTCCGTGCTACTACTGAGATTTTTTTTAAAACCCAGTAATACTTTGCCCTACCCGGGAATCGAACCCGAGACCCCTTGCCCGGCAGTCGCACTTGCGACCACTCGGCCAACGAGGCAGTCAGCAGCCAAACTTTCCAATAGTGAAAATTTTTAATATTTCAATTCTGTCCACTAACAGGGTCTTATTCAATACAAACAATGAACCTTTACGCCTTTATAATATTAATAGATATAGACTAATGAACTAAATGAACTATTGGTTAGTTCAAGAACTTGGCACTGTGCTGTGCATTATTATAAACTCACCTTTGACTTGTGTTTTCGTTGCTACTTTGTTATTAAGACATTTTGGCACTGATCTGGTATCTGTTTATCTATGAGGAGCTAAAATACCTGCAATTATATGCGTATGAGACGCTTTCTCATACCTACAGCTACAATGTATGGTGTTAATTTATCGGGAGTTACAAATTAATCTGACTTTTAAAGAATTTCTTTTAATATTGATTGTTTTTATCTAAAGTCGATAAAATATTTAGCAGTATCGGGATTGTTTTGTTCATTTTTGAAAAAAATCATAATATAATATGTATGCATATACATTCTGTCTCATAAAGTTAAAAGTTGTATTCCTAAATCATCATATTCATCTAAGCATTCAATTTTGTTACAATTCGCTTGGAACATCCATTCCAACCTTCAAGAAAAAAGCGTATTCCTTTTTAAAAGGCCGGCAACGCACCTGTGACTCCTCTGGTGTTCCAGGTGTCCATGGGCGGCGCTGATCGCTTACCATTAGGTGATACGTCTGCTCGTTTGCCTCCTATTCCATAAAAAAAATTACCATATAGGTTATAGGTCTATACAACATTGTTATAATGTGTTTTAAGCAATGATAAATATCTCAAATATCTATCTCTATTTCTCAGATGGTGGCAAGTCCCCTACTATTGGTTCGGTATCAAGATGTACGACGTGGTGGCTGGCGATAGAAACGTAAAGAGTTCGTACTACTTGTCTAAGAAGAACACTCTTGAATTGTTCCCCATGTTGAAATCCGACAACCTGTGCGGTGGCATCGTGTATTATGATGGTAAGTGACTTGTTTCAGCAGTTCCCTACTACTTATTTTATTAAAAGTTTTTATTACTAGATCGCGGTCTAATGAAAACTATGCACTTATAAATATTTTTTATAGAAACATTGCCCCACACTGGTATTTTCTCCTGTGTCGTGGGTGCGTTTACAAACATACAAGTTCACATACACATGACACCCAGACCCAAAACAACAATTTGTGGATCACACAAAGTGTTGTTCCGTGCGGGAACCGAACCCGCGACCCGTTGCACGGATGTCGGTTGCCCAGCCACCGCACCAACCGTACAGTCTACTAATAAGTAATACTCAGTTTTTAAAGACGTCGAATGACGTTTACGGCTAAACTGATTAGGCTAATAGGACTTTCCACCTCACTACCGCCAACAAGCTTGAAGAAAAACCGAAAACCTTTATTGAGAACTGAGAAGTGTAGGTATTGGTTAAAATATTCCTTTTTTATTTCACAATTTACACCATTAGAACAGACTGTTGTTTGTTTGGCTATGTCGAATAACTGCCATCAGGATGTTACAATTTACCTTTCTTTATGCAAACGGATCACTTGATAGTAAGCAATCAGCGTTACCCATGGAGACCTGGAACACCAGAGGCATTACAAATGCGTTACCGGCCGATTCGGGCATTGAGACTGGGGAGGGGGAATAATTGGGTCTCCGGTAACCTCACTCAGACGACGAAACTGAACGCAAGCGTTGTTTGACGTCGGTTTTCTTTGAGGCCGTGGTTTCACTCCGATCGAGTCGGCCCATTCGTGCCGAAGCATGGCTGTTCCACACTTAAATAGCTAAATCTGGATAATGCTCTATACACCCCAGAGTGTATCCACCTCGTTTGACATTATAAGTCCATATTTTATCAACATAAATTACATAAGACTTAGAAGTCATCAACTCAATACAGTAAATGTTTTGATAAACAATCTCGATGCTTTGTAAATAAGGAAGTTATATCTAAGTTATAAGTACTTTGTTGTTGACTTATCGCGTAGGAGATTATATCGAGATTAACTAACTAGCTACAAATCAAATATAAATAGACTTAATGTCTTATATATCAGTAGTGGAAATGATAAATGATGAAATATTATGTTCTAAACCTCCGCGTCTTCAGTCACGTTTATTCCAAGTGGATCTATGTTGGTTACCACATAATCTTCAAAGATATCGATATCTTCCATCTTTCTACAAATTCGGGTGATCAAATAGTACATTGTTCAGCTTTAATTTACACGGAACCTGTGTAACCATGTGAACATGATTGAAAAAGAATAACCTATGGAGTTTCTTGCTCGTTCTTCTCCATAGGAATCTACACTTTGGAACGAGCAAATAGCTTCACTAGAGGACTGTGACCTACAGACTGATATTTTTTCTTTTTATTTAATACTAGCTTTTACCCGCGGCTTTGCTCGCGTCACAAAAGGATAAAAAGTAGCCTATGTGACATATACCAATACACACAACGCCATCTATACCAATACTTTAGTTTTCCCTCGGGAATATAAAATTTTTCCGGGATAAAAAGTACCCTATTATTTAATCCAGACTTCTAACTTCACATCTGAAAAAATTCAAAGCAATCGGTTTAGTAGTTACGGCGTGAAAGTGGAACAAACAAACAAACAAACTCACTTTCCAATTTATAATATTAGTAAAGATTTAAATATTTTGTTTTGACGTTCATAAGTGCCTTCCTGGTCTAATTGAAATAAATGATTTTGACTTGATTTGACTTGTAAGTTCTCGTTGTTTTTTTAATGAACGAATAAATCTAAAACAAGTTACTAAGAAGTATTTTGTTTAAACAGGACAACAGGACGACGCGCGAATGAACTTAGCGATAGCATTGACGGCGGCCCGCCATGGCGCCACCATCGCTAACCACGTCAGTTGTAGCAAGCTGTACAAGACCAATGGCAAGCTTAGTGGGGCTAGACTAAAGGTAAGTGTCCAAACGATGTACTATAACTGTAATCCATGCTTTGGTAATAATGGGCCAGCTCAACCGGAGTGACACCACGACCTCATAGACAAGCGGTATGAAATAACGTTTGCAATGTATTTCACCTTGTGAGTGAGGTTACCAGATGTTTAATTCTTCCCTTTCTCATTTACAATCCCGAATCCCCAAATCCCGTAAAGGTCGGCAATGCAATTGTAACTCCTCTGCTGTTGCAGTGTGTTTAGTTACGTTTAATTCAGGTTCAATAATGTCCATTTTTACCAATTCCTCATTTTTTTATTTATTTTTGATTTTTTGAATTGGAACCCGTCTATATGGGGTGTCCATTGGCGGCACCGATTGCTAAGGCGATCCGTCTGCTACATTATCTTAAAACAAATTATAGATGTTCCTACAATAACATACTATATTCTAATATGAACGCAATTCTATTCAAATCCCAGGACGAGCTGACGGGCAAGGAATGGGACGTGAAAGCAAAGTGTATAATCAACGCGACGGGCCCCTTCACAGATAGTATCCGCAAGATGGACGACTCCACCGTCAAGGACATCTGCTGCCCCTCGTCCGGTGTTCATATTGTGTTGCCTGGATACTATAGGTAAATTATTATATGCAATTTTTTTGTGACTAAGGAGAATTTAAGAATGATTATGTTTCCATTATCAAGAATACTGCCTCGTTGGCCGAGTGGTCTCAAGGCAAGGGGTCTCGGGTTCGATTCCCGGGTCGGGAAAAGTACTACTGGGTTTTAAAAAAATCTTAGTAGTAGCACTGAGTCTGGAATTGTGCCCGGTATATGGCAATAGGCTCACCCCTTATTACACATAACGTAAATAGTGAAAAGTGGGTGTTACATTGTACAGTGGCATAATGTGCACCTCTGCCTACCCCTTCGGGGATAAAAGGCGTGATGTTATGTTATCAAGAATAATTTGTCTTTAATTCTCTAATGAAATACAGGATTTAAATAAAATGTTACAATCAAATTTTATGCTTAGCCCACATTACAGTCAGACTTTTTATAGTGCGACAATTAATCGTAGTCTTATCAACTGAATGTAGTTCATAAAACAAAATGTAGTTAAATATTTTTTATCTAAAAACGGAACACTTTATGAAGAAAACCGATCTAAAAAGTAATAATAAAAAGACTTGCAGAATCCTTATTCTTTTTATCTCTTTAGCCCAGAGCACATGGGTCTCCTAGACCCGGCCACATCGGACGGGCGTGTGATCTTCTTCCTCCCCTGGCTGAAGGGTACTATCGCGGGTACCACGGATTTGCCCTGCAACGTCACACACAACCCTAAACCCACTGAAGACGAGATCCTCTTCATCCTCACCGAAGTCAAGAACTATCTGAACCCTGATGTTGAAGGTTCGTTTCAAAAAAAACATGACCTTAACCTCTCGAGCGTCCTTATGAGCACCCGGTGGATCATAAGAAAAAATGCTCCAAATGTCACGTGTGCACCCGTTGGATCATAAGGAACGCGGACGCTCAACGGGTTAACTGCAATAATACTTACCTATACTTACTTATACTTGCGCTAAATTGGAAGTTCATTGAACTTAGTTGCTGATTTGGAATCTGATTCAAATGCAGTAACCTAACCTAGTTGGATTCAAGCCAGCAGTAAACTTAAGTGATCTTTATAATACACACACAACGCTGTTCAAGTATATGAGCCCCAGCTTGGCTTGAAACTATTCGAGTCACCTTCTCAAATCAACATAAATAATTTGATATTGAAAATAATACGATGATTTACTAGGCCTATGTTGCCTGACTGCCTCGTTGGGCGAGTGGTCGCAAGTGCGACTACCAAGCAAGGGGTCTCGGGTTCGATTCCCGGGATGGGCAAAGTAGTACTGGGTTTTTACAAAAATTTCAGTAGTAGCACGGAGTCTGGAAATGTGCCCGGTATATGGCAATAGGCTCACCCCCTATTACAAGGGACTCATAACATAAATAGTGAAAAGTGGGTGTTACCTCTGTGTGCACCTCTGCCTACCCCTTCGGGATAAAAGGCGTGATGTTATGTTATATTATGTTACTAACGGGTGTGTTTCCCCAGTCCGTCGCGGCGACGTACTGTCGGCGTGGTCGGGCATCCGTCCGCTGGTGTCGGACCCCAACAAGCCGGACACGCAGTCGCTGGCGCGCAACCACATCGTGCACGTGTCGCCCGCCGGCCTCGTCACCATCGCCGGCGGCAAGTGGACCACCTACCGGGCCATGGCCGCTGAGACTATCGACGCGGCTATTGAGAGTAATTACTAATTATTATAATTATTACTAGCTTTTACCCGCGGCTTCGCTCGCGTCACAAAAGGATAAAAATAGCCTAAGTGACATATAACGATATACACGGCGCCATCTATACCAATACTTTTGTTTTCCCTCGCGAATATCAATTTTTCCGGGATAAAAAGTACCCTATTATTTAATCTGGTCTTCTAACTTTACGTCTGCAAAAATTCAAAGCAATCGGTTTAGTAGTGGTTTAGTACGGCGTGAAAGCGGAACAAACAAACAAACAAATAAACTCACTTTCCGATTTATAATATTAGTAAAGATCTACTAACTACTATTTACCACGTTAATTTCAAGAAGATTGATTGAATAATTAAAAATCTGTTTGACGGCTAAAGAAATCGCTGTCAACTTTTATCCTAAGATCGATCGGGGGGAAATGCCCTCGACATTAGTTCCACCTGTGTACGTTTTTCTGTATGAATAATATATTGAGAACTGTAAATAGAATTGAACTTTAGAGTTATGAAATAAAATTCATTTTCTAAATTATGTAAAGTAACTACTAACTTAATTTAACGAAAAATACGTACCAGACTACATTTGAATTTCTATTATATTTACATGACAATTAAAAACATTTCAGGCGCTAACCTGAAGCCTCTGTACAAGGAGTGCCAGACTGATGGGTTCCTAATAGAGGGCGCGCACGGCTGGACGCCCACCATGTACATTAGATTAGTACAAGATTTCGGATTGGAGATGGAAGTAAGATATTATTCCTTTGAATATTATAGATCAATGTTAATAAGGTTCTCTTACAGCATTTTTTGCACATTGACTTATTATATATAGCAAACAAATTTGCGGTCGTCTCACCATTATTTTGTAGTTTGATTCAAGGCTATCAGTTTTATCTTGGAGTTAAAATCTTAGCCCTGCGGTTCTCTACTATTGATCTAATAGCGCTTAATTCAAATATAATTTTTGATAAAACCCTTTGAGTACCGTCATTATAGACACAATTAAAGAACAATAGGTTGCGGTCACCGGTGTCCTCGCGGTGTTTGACAGTTTAAATCCGGCTGCCTCATTGCGAACGCCTCTTAACTATTCATGACTCTCATTTGTATTAGTAAAGATGTCATCGACTGCTGCCAATTTAATCTAATTTGATATTAGAATCTTCTCCAAAAGTCGTTAATTGTAATGAGTAACTAATATATTCCAGGTAGCACAACACTTAGCCAAGTCGTACGGTGACCGTGCGTTCGCGGTCGCTAAGATGGCGGCCATGACAGGCAAGAGATGGCCTATCATCGGCAAGAAGGTTCACCCCGAGTTCCCTTACATTGATGCTGAGATTAGGTGAGTGCCTATATCAGTATAGAAAGGATTTGTTGCCACATTTTCTTCTCGTTTGGAATGCTTCTTCTAAACTCAAAACTGTTGCCAAAAATTAGCATTTAACTGATCTCATGGGAAATTGCCCACGGGATTTATTAGATAACTATCGACCTGCCAGTTTTCAAACCTTTTACATTACCACATTCTTTCCGATTCACTATAACCTTTAGTGATTTATTTAACCTTCATGAAAGAGCTAAACATACCTTTAGAATTCAATTTTGTTGTTTGACTGCTTCGTTGCCCGAGTGGTCTGGTCGAAAGTGCGATTGCCGGGCAAGGAGTCTCGGGTTCGATTCCCGGGTCAGGCAAAGTATTACTGGGTTTTTAAAAATCTCTGTAGTAGCACGGAGTCTGGAAATGTGCCTTGTATATGCCAATAGGGTCACTCCCTATTACATGGGACTCATAACATAAATAGTGAAAAGTGGGTGTTACATTTTTCAGTGGCATTAAGTGCCGTAATGTGCATCTCTGCCTGCCCCTTGGGGGATAAAAGGCGTGATATTATGTTATGTTATTTTGTTGTTTAAAAATCGCCTATTTAAAGATCCATTGTAGTGAATGTTTTTCTTTTTAATCCTACGACATCTATATAAGTAACAAAATGTCCCTTGTAGGTATGGTTGCCGCGAGTATGCTCGTACTGCAGTAGATATGATCGCGCGCCGCCTGCGGCTGGCCTTCCTCAACGTGCAGGCCGCCGCCGAGGCACTGCCCACCATCGTCGACATCATGGCTGAGGAACTCAACTGGAACGAGGCTGAGAAAAAGGTATATATTATATTATTTGGTCTATTAAAGAAATATGAAACTTATTGTGTCTACAAAGAGGTCTGTTTTTGTCTATTAATATATAAAATAGTTTTGGTTGTTATTAATTGGTTGCTGTGTCAATAATATTAGTTACGCGGATGACATGGTGCTGCTGAGCGCGTCGATCTGTGGCCTAAGGAAACTTGTGCAAAAATGTGAAGAGTATGCAAAGTCACATGGACTTATTTACAATAGCAAAAAGTCGGAAGTTATGGTCTTTGGTGCTGGGGGTAAAATTCCTGAAAGTATACCACCTATATTTCTTAATAGAATGCCTTTAAACAGAGTGTTTAAGTTTAAATATCTGGGTCATATATTGACCCCCGACCTCAAGGACGATGCAGACATTGAACGTGAGCGGAGAGCGTTGTCTGTTAGGGCAAACATGATAGCTCGCAGGTTTGCACGGTGTTCACTTGAAGTCAAGCTCACCCTCTTCAGGGCATACTGTACTAGCTTTTATACATGCAGCCTGTGGGCTGGGTTTGCGCAGAGGTCGGGTCAAATATAATATAAAATAAAATTTCCAGAAACAAATTAAAGATGCCAGTGACTTCTTAGCCAACGAGATGGGACAGATGGTGAACCGCGCCAGTCGCGACAAGATCCCGATCAACCTCAGCAAGGACGAGATCCAGACCTACATCAAACGGTTCCAGATCATCGACAAAGACAGGAAAGGTTTCGTCTCCATCAACGACATTAGGAGGAGTCTTAAGGTAAAGAATATGATAGGTGATCCCCCAAGGAATGGATGAATTTTACACATTTAGGTTTTTTAAGCAAGTTATGTTATAGTGTCATTGTGATGTGAGATGAACTGGTTATCAATAGACTGATTCGTGCTACAGAATTTCAAGATCGACAATCTTAGCTGTAATCAATGTAGACAAAATATTAAAAAGGCTTTATAATATTGGGTTCGATTCCCTAAGATTATCATAGTATTTTTCAGCAGAACTATTCAAAGCCTTGAGTGAAATACGGTCATATGAATATTGGACCAAACCAGAAAGATTTTCCACCTATGTTTGAAACTTTTCCTAAACATATAATGCCGATTCTAGAGTATGGGGCTGAAACCTAGCGACGCAGAAATAAGTGCAATATTATCCGAGATTGACGTCACATACCACGGCCAGTTGGAATTACAAGACTACCTTCAGGTAGAGAGTACTAAATTACTGGGTAGATGTCGCTGCTGTCGTCCACGTCTCTTGGGTTATAACTCTAGTATCACTTTGGAATCATGCACGTGGATTATACAAAAGTATTTTTATTCAGCTAACATGTTATTAATAGGACACAAAAGATAAAGGTTTTACTTCTGAGAAACTTTCTTCTCAAAGACGGACATGTTTGTATATTCTACGTGCATAATTTCACTCAAATTGTCAGTACGTTGTAATGACTCTTTGTTGTACTTATATTTCATTAATGGACATTTATAATCAAACATATTGCTGAATAAACTCATTGGTTTAAATAAATGATAGGTGCTATTTTTGCCATTTTTTGCGCTAGTGATGCGCAAATCAATTGCGCAAATTATTAGCGCATTGTAATATCCTGGTTCGTTTTAGAGATGAAACGGACATAGAATATCGTCAATTTTGACTTCAGTTCTGACTCAAGTATAACAAAGGTTCATACAGCAACGTCTCATCTTGTGTCGCGTCCATGCTTGTTGATGTCGGGTATGGTCCACAGAACTACGGCGAGGAGGTCACCGGCGAACAATTGCACGAAATACTGAAAGAGATCGACACTAACATGAACGGACAAGTCGAACTCGACGAGTACTTGCAGGTCACTATCGCGTTCATTCTTGTGTATAGTCCGTGTCGTATTTACTGGTCTCTATTTATTTTGACTCATAATTTGTATTCAGTAAGGACTAAAATCACTTATTGATTTATAAAAGGCAACAACTTAGCATTACGTCGGCTTCTGGGAGTGTTAGACATAAAATAACACCCACTTTTCGACAGATGTTAACCCCGCGGTCAGGCGGGAGCAGTCATTCGATGATTTTCCCCCCTTAAAAAAAAACCCCATCCTAATAGTGGGCAAGTTTGAATCATTAAAACAAAGCCGTTTCTCCCTAAGCACTCTATTATACGTAGAATTGTGAGTCAAAATGTGTTCATTGGGCAGTAACAATACCTCCTGTGTCGGCGGACTTACTGCCCAGTGAGTGGCCATAAAGTGCGGCCGGACTTGCACCCTTTTTTTTTTTGTAAAAGTGATTTTTTCCGCTTTGCTCGAATGGTGTTTTTTTTTTCTGTTTTGCAAGTGTGAATAGCAGTTTTTATATTTTTTTGTTTGTTTCTAGTAATTTTGTGAATGGTACGTGAGGAATGTGTTGATCGATTATTTACTTTTTTTCGTTAAGTGTCTGTCATAGTGCATTGCAATCTACTTAGTCATACTACAAAGACTGTATCTACTTACATTGGTATAGTTTTACTAAAGTTCGTGCAACTTAAAATAGACTTTCCCGAAAACACAATAAGATTGAAAATAATTAATCTTCATGCTAACGACAAGTAGGTCAGAATAGTTTAGATTTGTTGGCATCATATCAAAGACATTGCGGCCAACTTTGGAACAGGCGCTCGATTTGTCTGCTGAAGTATTTTAAGTTAATACCAAAAATAATTGTGATGCATTGAGGAACATAATTCAAGCTTAGCTACATTTTCTCGTCGTTAATTTGTTGTAGTTTATTCAGTACAATGATCTATGTGATTTAAAAATTAAAAGCAAAAATAATAATTTAGGTAAGTATCTGGAATACTACTAGTTCCTATCGTAGATCTATGTCGCGGAGAACCTAACGGGTAACCGGGGCTCCGGCTCGACGTGCAGGAGAAGGAACGGGGTGGTTTTTAGTCAGTAAGAGACTGACACTCCCTTCCGCCTCACCCAGGCGGGAGCAGTCATTCGATGATTTTCCCCCCTTAAAAAAAAATCGTAGATCTATAGTCTTATCTACTGTTAGGAGTATTGTGGTTGGTCTCGATTAAACAAATATTTTGATTTACTGTAATAGAAATAGAGTTATGATACTTTTTGTTATGGGGTTTATATTAAAATTCTCTCTTTAGTAACGAAATCTACAGATAGATTTTGAATGAACCGTGGTTATTGAGGCTGGCCAGTTAGTCTATTTTTAAAAATATTATGCATTATTTATCTTAGGTAGGTAGTGTTTGCGCTTAACCTTAATTTGTGCTTCTTGTTTCCATTAACAAACCTCCATGGTACATGTTTTGCTTTTTAATTTTCATTTTGCTTTACTAATTCATTTTTAATTTATAAGATAAAGGTAAGTACTTTACTGGTTTAATTTCTTAATTTATTTAAACTAATTGTCATTTGCGTGTGGTTTTTATATTAATGTCTTTTATTGAATTCTATTCGAAGACACATTCTTATTTTAGTTATGTTTACATATCATGTCTTTTACCCAATTATATCCGTATTAGAGATTATAAAATAAAATTAAATTTTTCCATAGTTATGGCTTAACAAAGTCTATCAAAATCTTTATTATATCTCTGTTATTTGGGGACTAATGACGTTTGTCTTTTTGTATTTAATATTTTTTCAACTAATAGATCAAAAGTTTACAAAGACATGCATAGATGTTTTTATCACTTTCTAGACTTCTAATCCTACCTTATCACACACAGATGATGTCTGCCATCAAGTCTGGTCACGTGGCATACTCTCGGTTTGCGCGCATGGCTGAGATGGAGGAAGAGCACCATGAACAGGAGATGTTGAAGAAGCAGATCTCTGTCGAGAGGAGTGGCGGTGGCCTGTAGACGTCATACACATGGTAAGCTTTAATTTATATGAAATAAAGATTATTTTTTCGTATCTTTAGACTAAGGATTGAAACGTATTATAAAAAGGTTCTTGACTTCCCGCTCAATTTTAAAGTTCAACGTTTTTGGATTAACTTTTGGAACTTTTTGTACGTATAACTATATTATTAACTTGACTATAGTCTTAATGGGATAGTTTCCATGGTATCAACATTAAAAATCTATTTAGTCCGTCTAGTTAGATAATGAAAAAATATTAGACACGTGTTTTTTTTAATTTCTCGTATTGTTGCAATACTTAGATAAAATGGCGCTAAGTTTAGGAGTGGGAGGTTGTTATGTCATAACGTGCTACAAAATGTGGCACGCTGTGACGTCACACGATATTTCAAATTAATGTATCGTCGAAAGTATTTAATTATTAGAGAAAAGAAAAAATACGTGTCTAAAGTTTTAAATTAATGTACCAGACGGATATTTAAACAAAATTTAGGAAACTACCCAATTAAAATTTTAGTTTCTTTGCAAGAATAAAAACAAACGTGCACAAACTTATTACCTCAAAACTATGTGAAGTCGCCTTTGTGAACAATAATCTTTCCCTATGTAGCTATAAGAAGATACTGGACAGTTTTAGAAGATAATTTCAAAGTTCCCATAAGTGCCTAAGTACTTACTTACCTACTACTTACTCTTGCTACATTTGTAGTTAGTCATGTCAATAATGAAAATTATATCTTTGCTCTATTATAATAAGGTCGATATTTTATGTGTATTCTAATACGTTTCTCTCATTACAGGTACCGAAATAGCAACAAAGTAGGCGCTAAACAAGACAAAAAGTATTATTTCTCAAATTTAGACTACTATACCTATTTCGATTACAATAAATACTTTAATTATTAAAATTGTAACACCAATCAATCAACTTTTGTAAATTAAGTACGTCCAATCAAATATATTTATTCTAACTTTGTAGATGATGTAAGTACAGAAAGACAGTGATTTTGAAATCGTTATATCATTGTGTCTGACATAAATTGTTACGATATTTCGATTCCTCTCCTAATTTTAAGAGAAATGGATTTGATATGTGATTGTTTAAAATATAAGACGATTATTTATTCATTATTTTGTTATGATACATGTTTTTTAATATTTCAATTATTATTATTATTATACAAACGGAATGCGACTTTTTTAAATGTATTTTTTATTTAAATGTTATATTGTGTGTTGAGCTCTGGCAAGTTTACGCAGAAATCAGACTTAGTCTATTCAAAATAAGGTTTAAATTTGATGAAATCAACGAAGTAGTATAAAGTACACCGATTACTTTAATGCAAGGCATTTTTTTTTTCTATGAAATGCTGGAGCTTGGTCACAAAACGCGTTACAATTGTTATTGTTATTTATGCCTGAGCCTCATTTTCGCAAACAATATTTGCAGGTCAAACCTACAAATACGGAATCTCCGAGGTGTAGGCCAGACATTAGATATTACACTACACTTATAATGCATAACACTGTTCTTTGACGAACGATAAGTACAATTTACAATGTATTTTAAAGTTCTTGATGTGTTTATTGTGCAAATAAATTGATTTTAAATCACAAGTTTTTGGTTTCCATTTTACGGTAACCCCTTTAAATACCCTATCCTAAAAAAACACTGAAAACAAGTGTGTTTACGTACTATGAAGCGTGAGTGACAATGGTTAAAAATGTCGATAATAGTAAAAATAAAAAAAAAAACATTAAGTCTTCTGTCTCTATTAATTATTATAAACACATTTTTTAGAAAAAGAAATATAAATTATTTAAAAACTATGATCAAATGCTGACCTCCTACTAAGTTGTAACAAAAATAAAAAGTAATCATTTCCGCATCGTAAACGCCCTTCAAAAAAATTACTATCTACCCTCTATTCAATTCGTGATGTTTTCAAAACAAACCCGAGTCATAGACAAATTGCCGCCAATTGAATGAATGACAACCAAATCATTCACTGATTTGGTTATCGTTCCCTTTGACGTTTTCAATCAACACAATCATCGTGAACTTATTAATCGTTGACATGAATATCCAACGACGACGTCACGCTGTGATATCGATCCGAAAATCAATATCGAGAGTATTTTTATTAGATTCTCGAGCATTAAAACTTTTCGGTAGCAAGAAATAAAGTTCAATTTTCACTGTGTTTCATGACTTTTGGGACGATATTCTTTGTTCAAGATAATACGCGCTAAACGTATTATAGGTTATCCAAGAAATAGATAGTTGGAAATTTGGCGGGAAAAAGTTATACGGCCTCGGGCGCGGCGTAGGGCGGCGGTTACGCCCCCGCGGCCGATGTCGCGGGCGGGCGGTGGGTGGGCGCGTCTCTTCCGTGTTCTTATGAATTTTTAACTTACGGACCAAGGGAAACATAACCAGGGGTCCCTTTTGGCTTGCAATCGACTAGGTACGGTTAATTTGAGAGGGATTTGACGAAATATGCTTTTATAAGTGAACGAAATTTTCAACGGAGTAATTTTCTGAGAATTGTAATTAAGTACCAGTTTCGATGTTTATGGATGCGTTTTGTTTAAAGTTGTAAATTTTATTTGAGGTACTTACGTGTTTAGCTTTTGAACTTGATTTTGGTTTGTGATGAAATGAATTGGCCAATAGTTCTTTACTCACATTAACTAAAATATGAAGTTTATATGTGACTTGCTGGAATAAAGTTAATACATATCTAAAATAAGAGGATAACTGGGTTTCAGTTTGCAAAAATAAAATCAAGTTAAAAAATATTTATTGTTAACATAGACTGATTGATCGCAGTTAGCTATGCTTTTTTAATACAAGACGTTTTACGTATAACAAATATTAAAACGACATTAATGTAAAAAGGAAAATAAGCAACCACTTGAGTGTATTTAATAAGTATAGATGTTTATTAAAACTTCTTAAATGAAGCCAATATCTTTGAAATTGTCAATTTACTATTAAATCAATCATACTGAATCATTAAAAATATTACACCAACAATTTTACAGAAATCATTGCCGTTCCAAACACACGCACTGTGATTAATGGGTCCGTACATTGAACCAGCGTCGAGTGGGTGGGGAGAGACTGTCGCCCACACGCGTTTTTGTGCTTGCTCTGCTAAAATTTCTTGCAGCTATACTTTGAAGTAATCACTCAAGTATATGATGTGATGTTGATGTGCTAATTACTGAGATGCAGTATACCTTATGAGAGCTAGGGCGTGTCTGGCTACGGGGCGGGTGGCGCGGGCGGTCCGGTCCGCCCACCGTCACTTCCGCTTCCGTGTGCCCATGAACCCTATAATTCTTTGACTGGAAGCAAGAGACCTCAAGGTATATAAGCTCCTTACAAACATTGAACACTTATTTCAGAGACAAGCGACTGCAGCAGACTTACACAACAGCGGCTAACTGTCGTGTCCTACTTCGATACTCGTTTCTACTCGAAGATTTAAAAGTCAGTGGTTATTCTGATTACGATTTGTAATCACCAGTATTGTTGCACCTTACCGTGCAACAGTCATTCACCTACATGCAAGTTAGGTAATCTAAAATTCTATCTATTTGTTTGAAAAACTGAGGTGTGTTGCGTAAGTCACAAACGTAACGCTCGGTTAAATATTCAAATAGCTCAGTACGCTGTTGAATGGAAATGCAAAGTGTTATTGTACTTACGTATTCATTGGTATTTGCTCGTGTGTATGTGATCAGTCATAGATACGGAAGTTTAAGCAAGAATGTTGAACTCAGAGAGGGATAAACGATTCTGATAAGTTATTGGTATTCTGATATTTAAGTAGTGACTCTGAATTTAAAAGAAATATAGTAAATGTTTCATCTGATATAATTAATGGTGCATCTATTTATATTTCTCTGGAGTTTATGTTTATTAATTCTTCGAAATGTAGTGTTAGAGAAAGCTCAAGATTATAGAATCTACGTCTACGAATCGACCGTCAGTCAACAGAAAGATCTAGTTTATTTGTTATATTTCACTTTAGTAATTGAAGCACCTGTGGCTTAGTAGGTGGGAAGTGCGACTATTTTGCAAACAGGTGTTATCATAACAGTTTTATTCATAGATAGGAAGTAAATATGCATTACCTAACGTAAGATAACTAACTACGGCACCTGTTGCTGAGTAGAAGTATTTTTTTGTTAACTGTCAGTTTGCAGAGAGATGGGGCATCGCTTTTATACTTTTGAAATCATCATCTGGCAGGAATTCTACAAAATCTGCATTCTACTGCCTTATGATTGGGTACATTTTTAATTGGCAAGTGCTCCAGTAGATTTCCGAAAATGTTATTCCGTACTATCTGTATCTACAGTAAGGTGAAGAATTTAAAGCAGATGCAGATAAGGAACTGCAAGTTATATACTTCATCTCATGTTATATGCTTTTCCTATAGACATGGGCGTAGTCGGGATTTGGGAGGAGAGGGGAGGAGCAAAATATATAATCAGGCTAAATACATACATTTTTAAATGTAATACCTTGAAGCTATGTTACACGGTATTTGAGGACGTTACTCAAGAATAGGACCATTGTTAACGTAAGGGATGATTTACATTCTTGGTTGTTCGGACATAATGTCATTACATGGCCATAAATATCCTGACGTACTTTCTTTAATGTTATCTATACCTGCTTAATGAATGTGGTCTTCTTCGTAACGATTAACAATCATTTGTTTTGATACGATTGTTGGAGTAACGATTTATACTGTGTATAATAAATCTACATTCTGGTTCAAAAACAATTGCATGTTCTAACAGTACCCCTTCGTTCGATAAGTACTAAATTAAATTCACATCTGACCACTCCACGACATGGAATAATAATAGTAGCCTATAAAAGCACTGCAGTGTGGAATCAAAGGGTCCTCCGTAGCAACGCCTGTGCCCCCATCTAGCTTCCCCTCGATAATGGACCAGATTTCTAACGCAATAATTCCCAAATAAATTGCTTCCGCTGGTCTGTTATCTTTCTGGTATGAGGAAATAAAATATGGACCTTTTAAGATGTTTATTGTCGAATAGAAGATGGTGATTTGAATGATTTATTCATAGATACGTAGTGGTATTACTTGTATACGAAAAAAAATCTTGTGTATAGATTTGTTCGTGTTTCTCATATGATTGAGTTGTACAGGTTCCAAACCGACAGTGTCTGAGGCTATTAATCTTGATTATATTTCTGTTGATATTTTGGTAGATACTTAGGTACGCTTAGTATTTCTCTGAATATTTCCTTTTCTTAATTGGGTCAATCGTGCTACTTATCCTTACTAGTTAAGTAAGTATCGTTAATTTATTACACCATTAAGTAATTTAGTGATTTTAATTAATCTAGTTGCACCAACAACAACTTTATTTCGATTATTCAGTTTTTCATTGTGATCATTTTGAGTTATTTTGGAATGTAAAATTTTAAATTAGTTGACTACCTACTTAGTAGTACACTTGCCGAACCGAACAATACACCGAAAACAATGAACACCGATGATTTCATCAACACAATTCATCGACTAATTAAAGTCGTTGTACGCAAACAGCATCACGTCACTCCGCTACCGCATGCCGCGCCACGCCGACAAGGTACACCCATAATAGATTTTAATACATTTACTAACAGCGTAAATACAAAACCACGATAAAGGCATTTTGATCCTTATGGCTTTGTATTATAGTTTATTATACAACGACTCTTGAAAAGAAAACTGCGTACTTGCGTATGCGTGTTTGACATCTATTTGTGTGGAAGTTTAAGCTTTATGTTATTTAATTTTAGGTCCGAAATTGACCGTTAAGTATATGAAATAATTAAGCCGAAGACACACGCTCTCTCGGGGCGTTTGCTCATTCGTGCATAATGGACGCGAGCAAAACGACGCGACTGACGACGCTTGACAAAACGTGGTCTGACTTTCACTCTCACTGCAAACCAGTCTAAACCTATAAATAATGGGGTCGCTATATCCGCAGGCGTAGAAATTTGGGAATATAGTCATTAGTCATCTTCTTTGTACCAGCTTAGGTAGAATGTATGACGATAGCACAGAATGATTTCGTAGATCCATTTCTTTTTACATATGACACAGTTATCTTATTATTTTATCGTATTTGAAAAGATAAGGAGGACTATTTATTAATGAATGCAAAATAGATTTTACGTAGGTATGACAACTGTTATAATTTACAAAAATAGGTCATTTTAATTAGTCTTGTAAAAATTATGATTGTAATTTCAGCTCACTGGGCCATTATCAAGTTAGTTCATACTTGCACATACTATCGTAAGAAAAACCTCCAATAACCATACAATGGGTTAACTCGATCCAACACTGATAAGAGTTCTCAGACACGAGTGTGTTGTAATCTACTATACAACAGGGAGTCAAATGAACAAAGAATCGTAAGTGCAACGGTGTATGCTTATCGTTTGTTTACAGGCCACGTCTTGTTAGGCGATGCGGCTGGCGCGCCGACCGGCACGACATGTGTGCATTTTTTGCCCGCCCAAGGAGGCCGCGGGCGCGAGGTTATACACCCATTATTACGTCCTTCCTACTTTCAATTATTATTATCGGGCGGCGGCGCCGCACCCGCGACGGGGAGGAGGAGAGAGGCGCAGCTGCTGCCTACCAATAATCAAGACCTGTCTCGGTTAGAGCGAGATGGAGATAACCGCGAATAAGTCGAAATTTTAACTTTTGTTAAGTTTTATTCAATAATCTGCCGATTGTTACAGTCAAAACGGTATATGATGTATTATAAAATCACAGAAGCAACTTATAAACCCTTAAGTTTGTAGGAAATATGATAAAAAAGTGTAAAAACTATAGAAATCCGAACGCGATGGGAGGCGGATCTCCGAAAATTGCCGAGCGTACTCGACGCGGCTTGCCAGTTCGCTCGCCGCAGTTTGGCGGCCGGTCGTGAGGATGGTGCTTTCTGTGCGTGAACAAAGAAAAATAATTGTTAGCAAGTGTAAAGTAGATAATGTCGTCTGAGTCCACAAAAGTGAAGGTGGAATACGTAAACGAGGACAAAACAGGCAAGGTAAAGAGTGTAAAGTGAAAGGATGCAGTGTTATTGTGTAACAGATCGGACGCCAGCGGGCAGCGGTCTCGTGTCGGTCGGTGCAGGGGGAGGGCGGGGCGAGTGCGGCCCCGGCCGTGTGGGGCCCGCCAGGCCACACGCAGGAGGTTGTGACCGTGTTGCTAGCAACTCCCTTGCCGAAATAGCATCAGCGTCCTCCTCCGATTCCTCAAACTTTCAAACCGTTTTCCATGCAAATATTACAATTGTTACACGCAATAAGCACTTACAAATTAAAAGCTACTGTTAAAAAAGCTCTATTTACGGTGTAACGAGAAGTTTGTAATGGTAGCCATTTTAAATTGAACGAGTTATATTTGTTTCACTGGTATTCAGTTCGTAAAGTAAAAAGAAACTCTCGTACACACCTAAATTTAACATGTTTGATACTTTACTATGATAGCCTACTTAGCAGCTGCATAAAAATCAGTCACGCGATTTGAGGTGGGTGGATCAAAGGGCGGCGGCGGCCTTGCCTGCGACGACTCCCGGCACTTGTTAGGAAAAGGCGTGTCGACTCACAACTATTACGATATATAAACTTTGCGAACTCTTGCAGCGTTAAACTTTACGTGCTATACACGTGGTAGGAACTTTTCCCGAAACAGTTACGAGAGCTTAATATTCTTGGAATGAAAGTTTTATGTAAATTACTAGTCATCACAAATTTTCTCAAAATCCGTTCACAAAAAGTTAAAGTGAATGAACGTTTTTAATATTTTTGTCTATGAAAATGACTTTTTTTTAAACATTCCCAAAATCATTCAATCATAAAAATTTTGACAGTTGCCTAAATAAAACCAAACAAACGGAGTTTTATTTTTGTAAATATATTTTTAAGTTTTAATTTATGTGATGTTGACATCATCTTTATTTAAGGATTTAGAGGTAAGCAGTTCGTCTTAAAAATGATCCTTGGTTACAAGCTACTCGAATGGGCACCTAAATGTAAGATATTGTCATTCAAAAGGGTTCGATTCGCGTCGATGCTTCCTTTGAGCGTGATAAAAGGGCCGGTGCCGAGGGCGCAGCGACTAACATTTTCCCCCTTTTTATTAGTCGTCGGTTGCTTTGTATCAAATGCGATCGACCTTCAACATAAACGTTTTGAATCTGCTATATTTATGTACAGCAAAAATGTAGTTTGTGTACAATTTTTTAATTATTCTTTCTATTTATAAAATAAATTTTAATATTTATTGCACATGTATTAAATTCTACTATTCGTTTAAATAGCATTAATTTATTACAATGGAAGAGTAATGTTTTTGTTATTATTCATGGACAATATGTTAACTCAACTTTTTTGTGAATATTTTTATTTTATCACTGCCAGACTACTTAGTCAATAAGTAATCTACAAAATAGTCTGCAAAAGAAAAATTTACAATAATTATCTTGAATCAATTGAAAGTACTTTCCTTGTCAAGTATCAGATCAAATGTCTTCTATCTAGACAGAAATATGATATTTATATAACTGATAATGCACTTGTTTTTAAGCACATAAACTCATGTTGCAAATAGCGAGCACTCGGGGAAAAGAATTAATCATTAAAGTGCTTTTGGTGTATTACTGTCCTCAGTATAAGTTTCAAATTGGCAAACATACCAAAAACTTATAAATAATTCTAATACTAATGATTTTCATGTTAGTTTAACCACAATCCATGAATTGACAGAACATAATATTTATCTCGTTCACTCCATACTTAGCATAATCTTCATATTTTTTTGTGACATACAAATCAGTATTTCAAAGGCAGTAACTTCTATTGTCACACTCATAAGTCTGTAAATAAATAAATGTTTTTATGCAAATTGAGCCTCGCTAAAAGGCTAAGCAGTGCCATATGTTAAACATGTTTACTACCTCAGTGTTGGCGACTAAGTCTTAATTACAGTTATATATCATAAGTTAATCTGTGACGGATTTTTCATGCTAGAGGGAAATACAGACACAATAACTGTGTTTAACAGTTGTAAGGATAATATGTGGTTGTGGGTACACTGGGATGACATACATATGTATGATGCAATCAGATGGGATCAATTGATAAAATTGTAACAGAAATGAAGTAATGATACAAAAATATGTGTTAGTGTTTTCTTTTTCAACAACTTCTAAACAAGTAATGGATATTTTTTTTCTTAAAGCTTAATACAGAGTACTGCAAGAGGAAATTTGATTATTACAGGAAAGCAACGGGACGCAGTCGCCGCTTGCGCTCCTGGCGGCGACGTGCAGCCGGCTCGGCGCCGCCACCATGGGACCCGACCAGCAGCAGGATACCAAGGACCAACAACAACACTTTAGTATGTATTACCTCTTAGTTTCCTTCAATTTCTCATAATGCATAGAATACAGGGTAATCAGGGTGTATCAAACCAGTTCTTATTTATAATATTAATTTCCCTTAAACTATAATGGTCGAGCATTAAAGTGTTAATAAAAAGCTGCCAAAACATCATCTTAACAAATAAAGTGATGATTCATAATTACAAAATATAATTCCAGGTCCACAGCAACAGCAACAGGCACAACAACAACAACAAGCGCAACAGCAACAAGCGCAGCAGCAACAAGCGCAACAGCAACAGGTGCAACAACAGCAAGCGCAACAACAGGCGCAACTGATACAGCAACAAGTGCAGGGCGACGCGGCCACGCTCGCCGCCATACAGCAACAGTACCTGCAACAGCAACAGCAGCAACAACAGCAACAGCCACAGCTGAGGGTGATTAGTTCTGCTGTAGTTCAGCAGTTAAGGGCACAAGGATTATCAGTGAGTTTTGTATAACAGAGCTAACAGACTCTCAAATCTCGTGCCAAACACTTTGGCGTCATCTCAGTCATTTCTTCTCTTTCCTCACTTTTTCTCTAATTTGTTGGAACCGTCTCTAAGTCTTGACCGGAATCAACTGAATATGAGTATTTTACATGTGACATTCTCTCTTTCGCAACCTGCTGAGGGTGACTTATATTCTTGGCAACTAGTGTTCACATTTTTGAGCTTTCAGCTACTCATCATTGTCACAAGTTCTTGTACATCTCAATAATCGCGTTCATTTAAATTAAATTAAATGTCACAGCCAGTTTCCTAAAAGGAACTGATTTATAAAATTTTAGGGAATCCATTTCATTTACTTCTCTATTATTTTTTTCATTTGGTCAGTATGGTTGGTACAGTACAATTAATATTTCAACAACAATGTATTTTGTTTTTAGGGCAATGAATTGTCAGCGGCCATAGTGAATGCAGCAAACTCCGTTCCAAATGGAATACAAGTGCAGCAACCACAGGTAATTATAGAATTATAGTCATAAAAGAGAGTTTGTTTAATAAAACTGTTAACGAAATTTCCTTATTTATTGAAAACAGTTTATTTTTGTTAACAATTTGTTGGTTGTCCTATAAATTGCTAGATCAACTATATGAGTTTTTAGTAAAGGGTTGATATTGAATCTGTGGGCTGTCTGAAATTGAAGTAAGTTTAAATAGGCAAACATACAGATATATGCAATTAGTAAATAAGGGGAAAATTCTTGATTTTCCTCCAACCGCTATTCATATTATCAATGTTATCCTTTTGTTATTATATTTTAAAGTTATGGCTATAGTTTTGTTTTATAATTTTAGTATTTGTTTGTTTTGATAATGGCCTGTAGGGGTACTAACATTACACCAGACAAATACAGACTACAGTAAAATTTAGTCCAATGCAACTTGCTTATAATATTTATATACCAGATCATAATCGGTACAGCTATTCCGACTGCGGCTTCTGTCACGTTAACAATAGAAAAAAAGTTGCTTATTTCACTCTCCAGGTTCCCAACTATCTCCAGACGTAAAAATCACGCTATGAAAATTCTCTGTTACTACGAGAAACTAACCCACTATGCGTATATAATAAGTTGGATTCATAGTAAGGTTTTTAATAGTAACCCGACTATTCTCATTGTAACAATGAACAACAACGATAAACAAACACATTTATTGACATTTTTACATGGTTTTGGAAGTGAACAGATGAGTATTTGAATCGATTTGTATGACTTTTTCCGAACTATACGTACTTCTAAGACACCACTGACTAACGGTGAAGGAAACATTGTGAGGAAACCTAAGTTTATAATTTCTAATTATAAGTTCGCATTAAGCAAGCCTGATGATTAATGCTCAAACCTTCTCCGAATGAAAAGAGGCCTTTCGTCAGCAGTGGCCACTTGTAGACTGTTGATGTGATGATGAAGTGATCTGTATGACTTTATTGTTATTTTTTTTTGCAGGTGATATCAATGCAACAGCTCCAGTCGTTACTGGGCGGCGGCGTGGTGTCTGGAGAGGGCGCCACGTATCAGAACACGCCGCAGCAACTGCTACAGATACACCCTCAACTGTTACAAGTATGTATACTTCCTTACATATTCAAGATCAAGTAACATAACATATAAGTTTTGCGAAGATGGATGATAGAACTAATAATAATTCAAGTTTTGTATTTTTTTCCTTTTAATTATGTATGTATTGAGTAGTGTTATTGGTATTTGTAGCGTTCTATCCAAATAAATAAATAAATAAAAAACCTGGACTGAAAACGATGGTCAGATGTGTACATATATTAAATGTGAAATCCACTTTTCGTTACTTGTATTTAAGTAGTATTTCCATTGAATAGTAGGATCAGCTTATTGCCGTACATTAGGTGCAAATATCAATCTCTATGATGTTACTGAGATTTATTGAAAACCAAAATATTATCATTACCAAACTATGTGAAAGTGAAATTTTATATTTGATATCAATAACACTATTTACGTAACATATACGTCTCATTTGTCGGAATACTGAAACGTTACTCAATTTTAAGTCGCGCTTAAGTATAGTTCTGTCTCTACAAATTCTTTGTAAAATGACAGAGATGGCACGATTTTTAAGCCCGACTTAAAATTGAGTAACGTTTCAGTATTCCGACAAATGTCCCTTGACAATATTTGTAAGATTTCAATAATGATTGTTGGAATATTTGTTGCAGCAACAAGGTATGTACGGAGGCTGCCTGGTGGGCGGCGTGGGCGGCGTGGGCGGCGTGGCCCCCATGCAGGCCGTCACTGTCGACGGACAGGACGCTCTCTTCATACCCGCGCAGCATGCACAGGTATTAATACATCTCTATTCTTACATTCACTAATTACTTATGGTCAGCGCTCTCATTGAGGGAAGATACTCAAAGATAGCCGTATATGAGACACGAAAATGAGGATATAATTGATAGACAGCCCGTCTTCTTATTAGCTTTTCTCGATTTACCTGTAATCGCATCGATTCGATTCGACGCTTGCCATTAATCATAACAGTTTAGCGAGTTTAGATTTAAGGCCACACATCTGTACATCTATATTAAATAAATAATTAGGTTTATAAAAAATGACTCATATCTATTCTCACCCTTAAAAGTTATAGGCGTTGAACACCTTGAAAGTGTAATTTACTTATAAATACTATTTTTTACAGAATTTCTCTGGCATGGGTCAAGTCAGTCTTGTGAACGGTCAACTTGTAAGGACGCCAGTCCTTCCCGCGGGCTTCTTGCAAAACGTCATGCATTTACCAGCTGGTATGTACCAACACACAATACTATATCTCGCAATACCTGCTTAGCTGTAAAATTCAGTATTGTGGAAAATGAATAGTAAAAATAAGACAAATTGATCTCTTCATTGACGTTTTATTTTTAGCATTTATTATAATATTTAGGCCCGATTTTTCAATACTCAGTTAAATTTTAACTGAGCAATAACTTTGAATATTTGACAAATTCCTCCATACTAAAAACTGTCAAATGTCAATTTTATTCTACAGTTAAGAATTAACTGATGATTGAACAATCGGTCCTTAGATAGTGTAATGTCAGAAATGTTATAAAATGCTAGAAAAATAACAAAGTGTGAGGATTATTTTTATTATGTGCAAATAATCATTTCCTGCGATTCACTTATAAAAAGAGGAAATCTCTGTTTGAGTTATCTTACTGTTAGGTTTGTAGGCAAACTAAATCCACTAGGGTATTCATAAGCTTTGGTCACACTATACCTCACAGTCAGCTTCGGGATTGCTTTGGGATTAATTTTCCATTCAACGGCTTTGCTTTCCAACTAAAATTTTCATATTGTTTCTGAATACCAAAATATATATTTCACTTCATAATCACCAGGTAGTCCTTCTGTAGACTAGATGTGACATAGTAAAAACAATAAAACAAAAAGTAAACAATGCATGTGTGTCAATGAAATGATCTGTTTTAGTTGATGTTAAAATTAGATATTTACTTTCAAATTACATTTACTATTATTTTGGCTGTCCTGATATTATTATTTACATTTTAGAATCAAACAGTTTGTTGAGTTTACCATATAGAAGTATCAGACTCGTATAAAACATTGACAAACAATGTTGGGTACTGACTTTGTGCAGACATCACAACTAGTCACCACCATCGCATGTTCTATGCTTCTAACGTACTACTGTCATACTAATCTGTGTTTTTCCGCCCTCCCCCCCCCCCTCACCCGCTAACAGAGCAGCAGGCGTCCATCACGATCCCGGGCACTAACATAACCATTCCCATTAGCGCTTTGGCGGGGAACCAACCAATGATAGTCCCTGGCTCCAATATATCGCTGGCGGGGCTTCAGGCAAACCAAGCGATTACAATCCCGACAAGTCAAGCGATATCGATTCCTACGAGCCAGGCGATATCCATCCCGTGTAGTTCGGCGGCCGTCACTCCTGGGGACAAGCAAGCCAACGGGAAAGACACGAAGGCACCCGGCAGCCCCAACGGACAAGGTTGGTGCCTCGGTCACCTCTCGACACTGTTTTCAGCACTTTGGCTCGCGATATAGTTGTGTATGTTACGGGTAAACGATTGCGTTTAATGTATTGATACGGAAATTAGGGATTTGTAAGATAAGTCTCAATAATCTTTTTTAATCTCTGTTCATTGATACTTTAATTTTCCGATTGATTTGATAAGTGAATGTTTATTATTTTTTGTCATTAGTTCAAAATATTTGCATGGGAATTTTTACCTGAAACATACACAGTTAACTGTAAAGAGACGCTTGGTAAGTATTTTCTTCATAAAAATAAATCACGGTACAATTTCTTCAAAGTACCGTGTCTATTAAGTTTTCTCCATACATCATCCTACTACTTCAACTCCCTAGCTTTGAATATAATCTTGCAGTTCCACTTGATTTGCTTCTTGTGTTGATTTATCATGCACTCGCTATCATTAGTTCACGTATTAACAATTATAATGCATTTTGTATGTTTAGATTTGTGTCAGTGGTAGAAGTTATGAGACGGCACCCTTAGAACACTATAGTATACCATAGGGTGTTTATAGACCTCTTTATTTGATAGGGATTTCATATTTAATGAATATTTATTAACGATGAAGAGAAAAGTGGATGAATATAGAAAAAATATTAAATTTGTCTGGTTGAATATTTTTTCTGCAATGTACTAAATGTTTAACTTTTAAAGTTATTTTAGTTTTTAGACTTAATAACTTAATAAAAGTATTTTTAATTTTGAAGCCTAAAAGTGAATATCACTGCTAATAGTATGCACAGTTATAGAAAGCTTTGTTCTAAGACTGCACACGTTTTATTTGATGTAGGTCGTTAGGTACTGATAATTTGAGCTTAAATTGTGGCTCCTAGGATTCAAGACAACTTGCACGAAGTTGTATTTATTGCAAACATATTTGAACAAATGCTCGTCTTGTAAATATTAAATAATTCTTAAGTGAAACATAGTGTTTTACATAGGTAGGTATTTTCAGTTTTTTGTGATTTAAAGTAGGCGTCTTAAGTTAAGCTTTCTGATGTTGCCACTGTACTTGATGTATTTGTGTAAATATATTGATCATAATAATAAAATATTACTTTCAGTTTATTCATCAAGGTTTTCAGTTTTTGTCTTTGTAGTCAATGTTTGTACAAATGCATCAAATATGACCCTAAGAGACATTTCTACAACTTTCCTGGTGAAAGACAAATGCTAAGTAAAGTCAGTATAATTTAATACATCATAATTATTATGTTCTTGATATTGCCATTTTCAATCCTAAATTATATCGGCCTAGGAAATACATGACTATTATTTAAGTATCAGATATCATCTAATAAACACATTACATAGGCCGTCTATTATTACTACCTACGCATTTGTCTCTCACGTGGACCAATATTAAAGTCAAAGTATGTAAATATGAACTATAAGTAATGATAATTTTGGTCATGTACATAGGTGCAGGCGGTGGTATCGCGGTGCGCGGCGGGGTGGGCGGTATGGGCATGGTGCCCGTGCAGGTCCCGGTCAGCGTGGCCAACGGACACACTGTCTACCAAACCGTGCATCTACCCGTACACGCACCGCAACACTTGCAAATCATTCCGCAGTTACAACAGGTAAAAACTTGCATATCTGTGCATATAATAAAATTGCAGAAGTGTAAATTCCGTACATTCAAAATATTAATAATATCAATAGTAGGGGGTGTTACTGGATAGACACCGAACTTAAAGATGTGAATAAAAAAAATGTCTGTTTGTCTGTCTGTATGTTCACGCATCACGCAAAAACTACCGGTCCAATTAAGATTAAACTTATAAACTCTTCGGTTTTGTTTGACTTTCTATTGTCCAATTACTCAAACGCCTACTAAATTTTAAGTCGCACTTAAATATAGTTCTGTCTCTACAAATTCTTTGTAAGATTTATTTATTTATTTATTAACACTTTAATGCACACAAAATAAGGTACATAAGGCGGACTTAATGCCATATGGCATTTTCTCCCAGTCAACATTTGGCTTAAATGTAAGGTCAGCGAAAATGGGCTTGTGTAATATGCAAAAAAAACAACAAAATAAAAAACTAATAGTAATAATAAATACTGTATAACATGACAGAGATGGCACAATATTTAAATACAATTTTACATTGAGTAGCGTTTCAGTATTCGGGCTTCAGTCACTATGGGAATAATGAACAGAATTACCAAGAAACTCTTCGGCTCAATGTTTTATCGCATTATGTGGATGACAGAAAACAATGTCATCAACTTTTGAGTCCTCCAAAGGGAAGGGTTGCAGAACTAATTATATTCAATTTGCCATCTACTGTTCACCAGTTGTTATGCATCAAAAAATATAATGAGAATAAAAAGACGTAGTGTACAATATAACTAGAAAGTAGTTTATTTCAACAATCAAAGATTTTATGGTTTTTTTAATCCACACATATTTTATAGTGCATTGTTCTTAATTAATGCGGTTTTCGCAATAATTTATTAGAAGGTTGTATATGACGTGAAGTTTTAATGGTCTTATAAAATAATTTAACTTCCTAGATCGTTGAATTTTGTGAATTATCTTAATGTTTCTTCACACAGATGCAAGCACAACCTCAGATGGCGAGTGTGCTTACACCGTCGGGACAGATCCAGCAGATACAAATAGCGTCATTAGCTAACGTGCAGGTAACACATACTAATTTTGGTTCTAGAAACTTCTTCAATCGTATACTTACCTATACACATTTTTTTTTAAATATGACATTACTACTATTCCTTTTACTCATTTTAGTCCTTGTAATTACACAAAATCTCTAACTTTTCTGAAAGTCTATTCATCTTATTGTACAAATCAAACTCAAAAATCTACTAAACTAAGTAATTATTCAAAAATCGACAATAAAATGTAAAATAATCAGTAAATAAGGTTGAAACTGCTGTAAATATAAGCTGGGTATTGGTTTGGTAGCAGGGTGGGGGCGCGCAAGGCGGCGCGGCGGCTGGACAGACTCCCGCCACCATCACATTGCAGGTGAGACGTACTTCTAAGTATACTGGTACTAGTTACATCCAGGTGGTAAATTTTAGGATTTTGACAGGTTGATTTGCGTTGTCAGTAATGTGGGTTCTTTGCGATAAATGAAACCATGAACACTTCAGCTATCTAATCCGAAATAATAGGACCATTGTAGACTTAGTACTCACTGCTTTGTTTTAGGTCCACGTTCTAGATTCACAGATCTTGGCTAGACAAATTGCAATTTAGAACTTTTAATTCACATAATATGTCAATCAAATGTCCATAATTCTGATATTAACTTTTTAGTTTTACGTTTAATTGTATTTTTTTTTTGTTATATATTTGTCCCAAGATTTACAATAATTTCCCTTTAAGGATTCATTCATGTTTTAATTGTGAAAAAGAGATGGCGCTGTAGGCTTAGTTTCGTCCTCTCACACTGCATGATTGCAATGAAACGTCATATCACCTGCAGGTCGCGTTATTGATTGACCTAATTCTGATTTAGTGTCGAAGGACTATCAAGGGAAAGGTACTCAGTGCTTAAAATTTTACTAAGCATAGCTTAGATAAATAAATAAAGTACTTAAGTTATAAACATAGTGATATATTAGGACTGCATCTTAGATATAACATGTATGAAATAAGACAGATAACTTCGCTTCGGGTTTGTTCGCCTAATTTCGTCGTATCCAGTATGGCGTTAGCAAGGCCATAATGTCCGTCTCCCGCCTTTCACAGCTGATGTTGATATGGATAGATTTCAGTTAAAATTTTGCGAATTTCTACGTGAGCACTGTGAAAATGTATGTATGACTGTATGTAAAGATTGTTTCCGTCTATCTTATATAAATTATTATGTATTTATTTATGGAAATGATTTTATTAGTCTCATTGAAAACATAGTTTTTGGTTGTTCATACGTTAAAAGGATATGCTGACAAATTATTTTCAACTTTATACTACTTGTATTAAATCTTACTTAAAATCCTCGTTCAAATTTGGCGCTATAGAGTTTGAACCAATATTGGAACCACCTTCATTCATATGACTGGTTTGTCTGTTTCATTTTATTTCTTAAGAGAGAAAGGGACGGCTAATGAAGGGTACCTGAAATGAGGTTCCGTTTTTGTCAATGAACATTTTGCCCGCGTCTTGTCCTCCACCTACACTGTTCTCTAGGTCAATTTACTAGGTCACTGAGACCTTGACCTATTTTAAATTTCGGATAACCTTTTTTATAATTAGGTAATAACTGGGTATGGGTATGATAAGGGTGTTTTTTGAAGAAGTTAAAAGTAGATAGGTGGTCCAAAAACGTAGGATGTAGTTGTTGTCATTTGTTTTATTGATCCCAATTCCTGCTAATCTATTACTCCCGTACCTCATAATAAAAAGTATTTGTATCTACCATGCTGCTTGGATTCGGATTAAGGCGGTATCAAACCCTATGCAAGCGGATACTGGGAATCTACAGCAACAGCAACCTTCCCAGACTATAATAACGAGCACACCTGCCGGCCAGCAAGTCACTGTCATACCGGCGTCAGGCAATGTACGCGCCGCGAACATAGTACAGGTATTGCGTTCGGCAATCTTCGGCGCCCGCACGAATATTCCCGAAGCGTAACCGTTATTGTTGTTCGTCATTAGTTGGTTCCGATTCCGAACGAGTTTATTGCCGTCGTCTCTCTGAGCTTGCGCGACAAAACTGAACTACTTATTATTTGTCATCCTTTTTGAACTTATTCAATCAGGTTTGTAAACCCTCAAGGTTTATTTAATTCTAATATTAATAGTTTCTTTGCAATAGATACCGAAAATTACGAGTACGTTCGGTCTGTTGGGCGGATCCATGTTAATTATTCTATTTGACAGATTGTAATGTCATATATCGTGTATAATAAGTCATATATCTATTCTATATCTAGTTATGGATTGCCTCAATAGGTGAAGTATTTGTTGTTTTTATAATGTAAACATAGTTATAGGTTATGTTGGGGTTATGAATTTTTTATGACCGAAACATAACCTCTTTGTTTGACGGCGGCTTAAACTCTTTCGTTGACAGTGTTAAATGTAGTTGATTGGTTGGGAATATTATAATATTGTAGTGGTTATTGCAGGTGCCAACACTGGGCGTAGGCGGTCTCGGTGGAGCGGTCCAGCTAGTCCCAGCACTTGGAATTCCAGGCGTACAGCTAGCTCAACTTCAGCAAACACAGCCTCAGACCGCTCAGCCACTAATAGGTAAGAAGCATAATGTATTCTTATCTTTAAGTTTTCTGAGTAACTTCCTTATATGTCATCACTTTGGTTACTTATTTAAAGTTGTTGATGTACCGGAAAATATTAGCGCTAGCTATGGGTGCTTATTAATTTTCGGAATGCGACAAATTATTATTTCGGCATGTTTATTTTTGATTTCCTAATTTGTGTTGAATAGTCTTTCCACAAAATTATTATGTGCAATATTTTGATAGCGTAATATTATTAAACATTTGAAATACTTGGTATACTGAATTATGTAGGTATTTAAATGCAAATTCATTCATGACTTTAAGAAGTTGATGAAAGTGGACAACTTTCTTGTTACTTAGAAGTTTACTAATACTTAAATGAAATAATATACCTATTAGAAATCTCAAGTAATTGTTAAGTAATGGGTAATTCTTTGTTTTGAGTAATATCAAATAAAAAATGTGGTGAAAGATGCGATGAATTAGCTATTGTTATATTTCCGATTTACTCCTTATTTATATTCATTACTCATGTATTAACAAATCAATAAAATACTTATAAGAATTTTACAGTTCAACTTTCACCTGAACTCATCTTTATAATTTTCGATTAGTCTCAATATTTCTTTCCAATCAATACATATAACTTTAAATAAAAGTGTTTTATTAGTATTATATATTATATTTATTATATATAACAATGACTGCCTCGTTGGCCGAGTGGTCGCAAGTGCGACTGCCTGGCAAAGGGTTTGATTCCCGGGTCGGGCAAAGTATTACTGGGTTTTTAAAAAATTTCAGTAGTAGCACGGAGTCTGGAAATGTGCCCGGTATATGGCAATAGTGAGCCTATTACATGGGACTCATAACATAAATAGTGAAAAGTGGGTGTTACATTGTACAGTGGCATTAAGTGCCGAAGTGTACACCTCTGCCTACCCCTTCGGGGATAAAAAGATGTGATGTTATATATGTTATGTTATATATAACAATGTTGAGTTCTTATCCAATCTATTACGTTGTTCTTCAGGCCAGCAAATCCAGCAGGACCCTAACGAGCCAGGTAAGTGGCAAGTGGTCAGCGTGAGTGCGTCGAGCGGGCCCGGCAGCGCGGCCAGCACGCCGCAGCCTGCCGAATGCGAGGCCAGCAAGCACGGGCCCGCCAGCCCCGGCCAGGGCAAGCGGCTCATGAAGCGCGTCGCCTGCACCTGCCCCAACTGCGACCAGGGCGAGAAGTTAGTATTCTACAGTCTCTTCTTTGTGCCTTTAGGCTTAATTCATTCTGTCTCCTGCAGTAATTCACCGAGGGAAGTGGAAACTATAGTTTTTTCTTCTTCTCCTCTTATAATATCTTCTGATTCACTTCGTTGCGGGAACCAAGACAGTTACTCATGTCCCTGGGACGCGCCGGACTTCAATGTTCCGGTGTTTTCATGGTTGTATCTACTGTAGATCCTGGCTTACAGGAGTTGCAGCGGTTTTGGGAGGTTGTGGCGGGCTTATCCCTTAAAAAAAATTCTATCCTACTTAGGCCAGTATTATACAACGTTACTCAAATGTTAAATCATAGTTATATTTGAAGACATGAGCCTAGCCTTTTTTTTAACTGTGTCGCAGAGAACCTAACGGTTTACCGGAGCTCCGGCTCGACGTGCAGGAGATGGAACGGGGTGGTTTTTAGTCAGTAAGAGTTTGACACTCCCTCCCGCCTCACCCAGGCGGGAGCAGATGATTTTCCCCCCTTAAAAAAAGCCTTTTTAACTGTAGGTACTGAGAAGTGATCTCCGCTTGAGTATCATTCTCTAATACTGATCTTAGTTTTTTATAGTACATATAGGGAGGCAAGCTAGCAAATGGATCATCTGATGGTAAGCAATCGGCGACGCCTACGGACACTCGCGACACTAGTGCACGCAAGTTGGTTGCGAACCCTAGTTTCATCTAGTAAATTAGGAAAAATTAAAGCCTAAAATAATTAGTAATTTTAGGTTTTACTTGAAATATTATATAGCCTTTTTGTGAAAAATAAATAAAGATTAATGATTGTAAATTTTAGTTGCGAGAGTTTTTAAAAGTCTAGTCATTTCCTGGCCCTTTTGCTTGCAACTGTTTCGGTTTTCATGGTTAGAAGATTTTTTCATGGATCTTTGGTTACGTTCTTGGTAGCTGTTGGCAATTTTCAAGATTAACAACATATACTTGTTATCAATGGTATTTTTTTTTAAGGGGGAAAAATTATGAGTATCAATGGTCTAAGATATACTGAGACAAAAAACTTAGCCTACTTTATAACCTACATTTCGAGGTACCAAGACATTTTAGGAATGATCACCCATCCGCCTAGGAACCTTGCTTAACCGTAGTGACAATATGTCGGTCCCCGCAGCCGCCTGGTGGACCGCAAGAAGCAGCACGTGTGCCACATCGCGGGCTGCAACAAGGTGTACGGCAAGACGTCGCACCTGCGCGCGCACCTGCGGTGGCACTCCGGGGAGAGACCCTTCCTCTGCAACTGGCTGTTCTGCGGGAAGAGGTAGGTTGCTCTTCTATATTCTGTACTATTGAAAAGTCTGTCGACGGAGCGATATGCCACTGCGATTATTTTCCTACAATACTGTAACACACTGACTGCCTCATTTGCCGAGTGGCCGCAAGTGCGACTGCCGGGCAAGGGGTCTCGGGTTCTATTCCCGGGTCGGGCAAAGTATTACTGGTTTTTAAAAAAATTCTCAGTAGTAGCACGGAGTCTGGAATTGTGCCCGGTATATGGCAATAGGCTCACCCCCTATTACATGGGACTCATAACATAATAGTGAAAAGTGGGTGTTACATTATACAGTGGCATAATGTGCACCTCTGCCTACCCCTTCGGGGATAAAAGGCGTAATGTTATTTATGTATATATATAATAATTCGGATCGAATCGAGGTCATTCATATAAAAGACACTTCAATAAAATCGTCTCAAATTATATTATTGAAAATAAGTGGTGTAACATACAATGATTCTGTAAAACATAATTCAGACAATCGAGATTTATTTAAAATATGTATCGTATCACCGTTCTGACAATGATTATTATTTGATTACTTTGCCTGCATACTTCTCAATTCAATAAGATATACTAACAATAACATGAACGATGAAAAGTATTCTGCAAGAGATCATTTGTCATTGTATTTGTATTGCATCTCGTACAAAAGTAATTCTTGTAAACTATGTACTTACTTAGTTTTTAGTATAGGTTTGTACAAAAAGTTCAGTAAGTATGAAAATAGTTTCATAAATTTATTATACCTATAAATTATAAAACAATTTTCATAATTACTGGGCTTTTTGGGGTCCTGACTAGCTGTACAAATACAAAAAATACAAAATTTTTTTTATTTCTGAACCAAATATTTTTTTAACAATAGATTGTGATTGGAGCCTCCTTTTAGGTAAATAATGCCTGTATTAGGAGACTCCGCTCTTCCATAACATAACAATATTTCAAAAGTTTTTGGTTTTTACAATTACCAGTTTATTGACTTATATAAATAGATTTATGTGTAAGGGGTGTATGTGAGTGTGGGGTGTATGTGTGTGTGAGGTGCGCGTATCTGTGTGTGTGGCGTGTGTGTCGTGGTGTATCTGCGAGGGTGTGTGAGGGATGGTTATTTTACGTGTTGCAGCAGGGCTTCCGTACTTTCGTATGATAGATTTTTTATCCATTCGATTAGCAATTTCTTACATTCGTGTAGTTGTTTTGTGTATATGTATATTTCTTTGTTTACCTTATTATATATTTGTGCAGAGCGTTTATTGTATTGTATAGCAGCAAGTTTAGTTTTAGTTTGTGGAACTTGTGCAATCATATCTTTACGTCTCTTTGATAATATTTTACTGTCGACTAATAGATTAGTAATGTCTCTAGACGTTTTAGTATTTATATTGAATTTTACTACTCGGGATTCAGTGGTTATAATCCGATACATTTGTCACATGACAACAAAATATAGAGTGCTGAAGCAGTTTACAGTAAAGTCTACATTATGTACTCCAGGTTCACTCGTTCGGATGAGCTCCAACGTCACCGGCGCACGCACACAGGGGAGAAGCGGTTCGAGTGTCCCGAGTGTCGCAAGCGGTTCATGCGGTCCGACCATCTCGCCAAGCACGTTCGCATACATACCAAGAACAGGATTACTGTAAGTTTCAAATTATTTCCGCCCTCCTCCAAGTCAATTGCAAAAACCGACTCCCAAACTACTTCCAGGTACACTATTTTGGGCTTTTCCATTGTTCCCATCAGAGTCATCTAATCCCATACTCTTTAAAACAATTACTAGATAGTACCAGTTTAAACTGATCGATTGCTTCAGATTCTATTGATTCACTGAGTTATGTTTAAGATATTCCAATTTTTCCATTCCGAAACATTCCAACTCTGCGACTAACAAACCATTCCACTATTCCAGGAAGTAGCAACATCTACTCAATCGATGTACTCGGACTCAGGCGACGACAGCTGCGACGAGAAAATGATGCTGACTATAGAGACGGTGCATAACGATGGGGACGGGGAGGACAAGATGGTGCTTCGCCCCAGTCCCAAGATGGAGCCCGACCACATAGACAGCTAGGACACGAGCAGCGACGAATAGAACCGTCGCTGTAACATCATCATCTTCAACCTCGTGTAATAAACGCTATATGTGAACTTTACGGGAATTCAAACCTTATTCGGTAGATCCGAGGTGTGTTTATAGTGTGTGTGAAAGTAGTATGCAGTAGATGTCCCTGTGGGATTGTGTGTTAAAGGTAAGTGTCGCGTGTTTCATTCCGAGAGTTCAATTTCAAGCCTTATTGCTGTGCATGTGGGTTTGATTTCATTCAATCTTCTTTTTAGTAAAGCTCTGTTGGACAGTCTTATGCCCGAATACTGATATGTTACTCAATTTTAAGTCGCACTTAAGTATAGTTCTGTCACTACAAATTCTGTGTAACATGACAGAGATGGCAGGATATTTGTAGCACAATTGTTTTGTCCTTTTACATAACATCACGCCTTTTTATCCCGGCAGTCGCACTTGCGACCACTCGGCCAACGAGGCAGTCAGTTTTGTGCTTTCAGCTACTAATAACTAAAAACTACCGCAAAGTTAAGTCCAACGGTTCATTAATCTGCCGTCACCACTCTATACTGGCAGTATAGTCGACAACATCGTATTGGAGACTGTTGCCAAGAGGAAGTAAAAAATATACAACTTATAATAGAGTAACCTTTCAGTATTCGGGCGTTTGACTTGTCAGTCATGTTTCTAAGTTACTACAAATAATTGCTGCAAAAGACAAAATCAGACCTATTTCCATATAATCAAGCATTGTAAAGCATAGAATCTTAAAATGATATTCCATTTTGTATAGGTTGTGTTTCAATGTACCGAAATATTATACTATGTTAGTAATAATATAACTACTTACACATTACGGTATATTGTTGGGGATATATGTTGAACCTTATTCTCTAGAACCGCCTAAACGAAAATATTATGAAAGCTTCGGATGTATTAGAAACTTGTTTCCAAATTATTTTGTACACAGAAATTGTTCGCTAGTTTACTCGTTTGCAAATTATAATTTCTTAAGAATATTCATATTCATTTATTTGCATACCATAATGTGAATGAGGTGTTACAATACGCTTAAAGCTAAGATACATTTATGGACCCCGTAAGGGCACAGCAACGGTTGATAAATGAAGTTAACATTTTTTTTAAATTAAGTTGACATTTATCATCAAATATCTGATATCAAAATCTATATATATAAAAGAAAGTCGTGTTAGTTACACCACTTTTAACTCAAGAACGGCAGAATAGATTTGGCTGAAAATTGGTAGGGAGGTAGCTTAGAGCCAGGAGACCGACATAGGATACTTTTTAACCAAAATTCTTTTTTTTACTTTTTACCGAAAATCACGAACGGGGACGGGAAAAAATGGGTTTACGCGTACGAAGTCGCGGGCAGAAGCTAGTTTAACATATAATCGAGTTTAAATTAATGAATAAGGTCAAAAAGAAATAAGAATAGAAATAGTTACAATAAGAAATAAAATAACAGAGGTCATAAAAAAAAATAAAGTTAAAATCAAAATAAAATATGTAAGTAACTAAAATTATAGTTAAGTCAAATAATTAAAATCAAATTAAAATAATCAAAATCAAATTAACTCGTCGAGTACCGTATTTATAGACACAATTAAAGAACAATGGGTTGCGGTCACCGGTGACCGCTCGGTGTTTGACAGTTTAATATAAAATCAAATTAAAACAATCAAATTCAACTCTAACAATCAAAATCAAATTAAAACAAATATGAATTGTACTTGTAAGTATTGCATTCAACTTTTACAAAGAATTATTTATTATAAAACTAGCTTCTGCCCGCGACTTCGTACGCGCAATCCCGTTTTCTCCCGTTCCCGTAGGATTTTCAGGATTTTTTTATGTTATAAGAATTTTCTCCTGACAATAACAAATACAACAAAAAAAAAAAAATTCAACCAAATCGGTCTAGCCGTTCTCAAGTTATGGCGTGACAACGGGAAACGGGTTTCATTTTTATATATATAGATTTCTACCAGGTTCCAACTAGCCGAAAACATAATAATTAATTCTACCGTTTTCTCTTTCTCGTAAGATACACTACTCTTTTGGAGGCAGTGTCAACAAAATCTCAATTCCCTCTGAATTTTTAGTCTAAAGTTGTTTTTAACTTCGACTTGGAATATCAAAGTTGAAGTATTTCAATTAATCCTTAATTAGGCCCTTTTGGAACGTCAAAAATTTAATTGTACTGTCTGTCAGTCCATATTAACAGATCAACTACAGTTTTAAACCTTTAACACATTAACAGGTAAATAAATACTCTAAATACTAAATTAGTGTTTACCCGTTAGTCTGTTCTTTGTGTAATGATGAAAAAAAATTAAGCAAATAAGTTTTTATTACATCCAATGTGAAGCAAAAATATAATATGTTTTAATATGTAGATCGTGAACGTGCTGTAGAAGTATATTTATACCAGTAATATTATAACAAAATTAAGCTGAAAACGTACGCAATGTGATACGTGGTAATGTGACATGTGTTCATTGGTCAGTATGCAATAAAGTCGTAATGTAATTGGCTGATCCAACACATGTGATTTATTGACCAATAATAGCACATCGATTGGCGTCGTGATTCGTTGCGTTGCCGTTTCTGGCTTTGATTTATCCAATCAAATGTCTTCTTCCCATTATTGTACAAAGAGAGTAGATTTTTTATCAATTACGATGTTTAAGTTATACAGAAACAAGTACTTATACCATTAACAATAGAGTTTATTAACTAAAATGCTCTTAGACTAGTTTAAAATGAAACAGCAATGTTAAGGCAGATGTTTGCCAAAAAATTTGTTTATTTAAAATTTGAAAATGTCATTGTTTTCGTTATTTGGTCGTAAATGAATAAAATGTGATTTTTTTTAAAGGAAATTAATGTTAAAATAATTGGTCTGTGATCCAAAGTTGTACAGTTTCGGTAATTGTTATTTGCTGTTTCGTTTAACGCATTGTACTTATTTGTAAATTGTAAATGTTATTTAAGTTAACGTTTAATATAACTAACAGATAAGTGTATCTAATTAGGTATATAAGGATATATTTTTGTATATAATCTACAAAGGATTAATGCCATAACATAGCTTTTTAAATATCATTCCAGAAGGGATTGTTTTATTTATCGAATGGGGCATTGTATTAATATATTGCACAGACTATAAAAATTAAAAGTATAATGCACTTTTAAACCAACAATATCACTTATTTTTGCCCATATTCATACTGGCACTTATGTGTACTAGGCGGATACTGCTTAAACCTATAAAGGACTTCACTATCTCTAAATATAAACCACTTGTGTATAATAATGTATGGCATATAATTTGTATCAAATTATATACCAAGTAATGTAAAAAGTTATATATTTGGAGGTAGTGAATATTTTTAAAAGGCCCATTTTATCATGTGCAAATTATTTTACACGTTGTTTTTAAACAAGTAATTCATTGTATTTATTTATTATTTGTTGGTGTCAGGAATTTTATGTGCTACCATATTGTGTATTTAGATTACAAATAGATTTTTAATCAAGTAGTGTGATTTTAACTTCATATAGGACACACAAGATATCTTCCAATTTTTTAGAACCTGTGTTTATTTTTTGTACGAACACACCCATAGTCTAAATGTTTTTATAAAAATAGAAAACATACCCATATCATGTTGATTGTTCATTTTATAAAACCCAGTGACAAGAAAATTAAAATAGTGTCGATAATTCTTTTTCATTAATGTGGATAAGAGTTACGAGTAGTTGAAAGCGCATTAATGGTAACTGGATGGCTAAGTTGGCAGATCTTTAACACTTAAAAGATGTAATTAACAGTAAAAAGCTTTTGTACCTACAAAGGTACATGGTTGGTAATTTATCAATTTTCAAAAGTCTAGGTATCCGTCTATGCAAGTGTATTACTCTTTATGATTTTAGAGGATGAAGAAAAGCTCTCAGTAATATACTTAATGCAATCGGACTTTAGACCTCTTTAAAAAGAAAGTTATGATTAATGTGCACTCGACTACTACGAACAATTACATAATAATAAATCCTGGGTCCAATGTCATCATGTATGTATTTCCTTGTACATAAAAAGTAAATTATTCTCCCTTCTCTCTATTTTAAGGTGTACATAATTTTATTGTTGAACTGGTTAAATAAAATATTTTTATAATATTCTAGATGTTTGCTTGTTATTTTATCCTGGTTTTCCTAGCTTTGGAAAGGGTTTATTTATACACAATATTGCGTTAATTTACTTAGATATCTGAGCAGCGATTAAAACCTTACTTTTTAATAAAGTTAAATTACAATCAGGGACTTAAGTATGCAAACAGAAGAAGCTTAACGGCCAAAGCCCTAACTCGTAGGCGCAAGGCGCTTGTAGCTGCGGCAAAGTGATGCAGGATGTCACAAAACATCATGGTTGCGTCAATCGGTTGAAAAACTAAGCTGTTCAAATTAAAGCGTCTTGGCCACGATAAATCGCGTCTGTCGGGTCGTCGCCCGCCATTTTCCGTGTCGCTACGCGTCTAATGGCCACCATTACCTTGTCCGTGAAATCGTGATGTCGACCGCTGCCTACAAAACTTAATGCTCCATTTTTCTCTTTTTCGTCGGATAGTTATTTAGACAGCAGCATATCCGTTGGTATGTATCCGGTTACACGACACCTCTTGCTGAGCAATCTGTATTGTAGCAGTACCTAATGGTCGATGGCTGGTCAGAGAAGAGGGTCAATTTGTGAGGGCATTCAAGATTATTAACACCTCTAAGCATTGTAGCTATTAATTTATATTCTGGAAGTGTCTATAGCGAATTTTTTGTAAATGCTTACGTGCGATCAAACTAACTATTAGTCGAAGGAATTCTACAAAAATAGAGGTTCGTATCAATTACCAGCAGTATCAGTCCTGTCTGTCACGCGTTCCTGTGTAGGCATTCAATGTAGATTCTGTAGTCTCTCCTAGCAACATAGTATC